ATTCTGTTTTATATATGCAAATGACCCATGCAGTAACTAGAAATTTTTGACAGGGGTGGTGAAGGAGCAATGAAACAAGTGCTAACTGTCTCTAGCTCTTGCTCAGCACATTTAATTAACTCTTTCACTTCCATGATCTCATTAGAAAATCTCCTTACTGTCTGCCATATAATTCTTAAGTTGTTAGCTTGGAGAATTTGGTATTGGATTAACTTAAAATCCCCTAATTTATACTTTTCTTTATTCTTATCACCTGTCTGCTTGATCTTGCACTGATATTGTAAGGAGAAATTCTGTGTTTATCACTAGCGGGAGAAAGATTTTAAAGGGTAGGAATTTACAAAAAACATAATGACAAAAGTATAAGGAAGTGTACACTGATGATTTTCCTTGAACTTTGTTTCCTTCAGATCTTACTAATAATTCTCCTTACTGTCTGTTAAATGATTCTCATCATGTTAGTTTGGAGAATTTAATATCGGATCAATTAGTAATCCCATAATTGATATTTTTTTATTTTCATCACTTGTCTGCATGATATTGTATAGATATAGTAAGGAGAAATTCTGTCTTGGTCACTCACGGGAGTTAAAGGGTTAAAGGCAAGCAACTTGGTTGTGGAAATAAGTTTGGAAGAATTTGTTGGTGACCAACATCAAACTACTCCAGTTTCTTTAGCAGAACTGAATAAAACATTAAGGTCATGAGAAAAAAGGAATTGATCACCAACTAAAGAAAGCTCTTGATTCATAGATAAATTCTCCTATCAGTACCACGGGAAATATATAGAGAATGGTATGGAGAACATGCATGCTGATGTTGGGGTGTAAAGGGTATCAAAAATTTCATCGAATAAGTCGCTGTTCCAATAGTTATGGCCATGATGATGTGTGTACAGCTGCTGCTTTACAAGCCTTGTTCATTTGTTTATTTTCTGTTTGTTTATCCAATTGTCCTTTTTTCTCTTATCCATTGACTTCTCTTATTGTGGTTGTATCTTATAGGCCAGGTTTGGAGCAATTTTAGTCCTTGGCCCTCCAAACATTTATTTTGGCTTCAGAGTTGCTCTGGATTTTGGTTTTTTAGCCTTCAAGGTGGTGGGAGCCTCAGAATCATTACACAGTATGTTATAACAATATGATATCATTATTGCACAGTTTAAATTAAATATTGATTTCAAAATAATATGAATTGTTGTACAATAGTATAACAATAATATGGAAAAATGAAGGTTTTGTGATGTCTCTCTTCAGTTTGTTAAAACATGTTCCTACTACGACCAATCATTTATCAGCTAATGTACCCATGCTGGAGAGCATCGATAAACTGGTGGACATTTTGTTTCTTTAGAACTGTTTGCAAGAACCACTATTAATATTGACAAGGATTTGAGCTTGTCTGCTGATGATCAGTGTTTAAAATTCTGACCACCAAGAGTCAATTCTGGGTTGCTAAATGGCAACCAATTGATGGCAGTTATGGACCCTGAACTTTTTTTTAGTATATATAAATTGTATTATATAATAAGCTCAGTTATGCATGCATTTTGATTGGTTCTCACTTATGATCTATTGGAGGACAGATGTATAGTTGACATCATCATTAAAACTTTTATTTCCATATATTTAATTCTTTATTATATAAAACAAATAGATTCCAAGTTGCTATGCGTCTGTTCAGTAATAGATCACAGAGGATGTCAAAATGTGGTAAGAACATCAGTGACACACTCGGCTGCACCTTGTGTGCCACTTTTTTGTTCTTACCACATTTTGATGTCATCTGTGATCTATTACTGAACAGATGCACAGCAACTTGGAATCTATTTGTTAAATATATATATATACCAATTGCACTGGGTCTCATTAAGCATTAAAGATGTGGTTGAATATTTCATTGTTTTGGAGCTCTGATCCTGAATTGCCAATCTGTACTTTGAAATATGTTTCAGGGATGTACAGATATGCGGGAATGTTTTCCTGTCTTCTGAAATTTGACCTTCAACTTGCGGTGAGTCTTTTTTGATATGGGTTTCACTTTAAAATCTTTTCTTCCTAATGGTGTCCAAAGAGAAATTTTCCACTTGAAATCTTCGATACACTAACTACCTAGCATTAATGCTTTCAAAGCAGCTTTAGTTAAATATTATAAAAAAGCACTTGTTGAAATGTTTGATCAGGATAATGTTTTTACTTGGAAATCATTGTGTCCCAAGTGCTATTCCATTAGGAATTTAAGCAGTTTTCATTAGTGTTGTTTTTAGTAGATATTAATAATTATTAATCTTTAAATAAGAACAGATATATATTTTTTGCATGTAAATTCTTATATTATATACATATATTTTGATATTTTAGTGTATTATTTATTTTATTTGTATTTTGCTTAAATTCTCCCCTATCATTATTTTTATTGGACTTTTACCTAGTTGGAGCTTGCTCTGTTGTGACTGTCCCTCACAGAGTTTTTTCTCTTCACTACTGTTATTTTTGGTTTTTCTTTACTTCTTCTTCTTCTTTTACCAATTTACATTAACTGTCATCTAACTATTATTTATCATATTAGTATGTTATGAAAGTCGAATAAATAAAAAATATCTGTAACACTAAGAATAAATTGTCCCTCTTGACAGACTGTTACAAATGCATTGTCTCTACAGGTTAGCCTGGCCATTTTTGTGATCTACAATGTGCAAGATCTTGGTGTTGGGGATAAAATTACAGTGGGTGTTGGTATCCCACTCCAGTTAGCTTGGAGCATCTTGGGTTGGTTTGCGGTAAGTATTTCTGGTGTTACATCAGGGCATGAAATTAATATTTTTTTCTGATAGCCACTTGGCTCCTAAATTCTTCAAAGTGGTAGCCAATTCAAAAAAAGTTGGTTGCCATTTTCATAGACAAACAAAACCTTTCTTTTTTGTTCTAGATAGACCCTCCAAAATTAAGTTAGGAAAAAGATCTTTAATTTGCTACAAAGTGGACACTAGAATGGATGATAAACAATGTTTCAGCTCACCTAAATCCAAGATGGCATCTAGTTATCAATCAATTGAGGAAGTTTGCTGTGGATTTATCTTTACAAATATTTTTAATTTACTATATCTCTTGGTAAGGTTATGATGAAACATTCTAGTCACCAATTTGGTGACTAATTTTCGGGATTTGGTTGCCAAAGTGAAAAATTTGGTCGCATTGGTGCCAGTATTAGGTGCAATTTCATGTCCTGTACAGTCATGATCATAAAACAAGCACATGCCTCTATGTAAATTGTTAATTTGTTTTAACGGTGATAAAAATATAGTGACATCATTTGTTTGAAATCAGTGATGATGATGATAATGATGATGATAACTATTAATTAATCATTTTTGCTGCCTTAAGGAAATTTAGTGTGAGGTTTGACAAAGCCCAGTAAAAAAAAAAAAATCAAGAGACTTGCAAATTTTCAGACTTGGTTCCACTTTTACTCACTATTTTTTATTTCTTCAAGATGAGAAAAGAACGAATGATACTAGTGCAGCTCTTCATCCCTCTAAGCTTTGTGGAGCCTTGCTACTTAATCTACAAAATATATAAGGTTTGTTCTCTGTCTGGCTTTGTTCAGTCACATGTTTCCTTTGGAAAATAATTGTATTAAGCTTCTGTTTACATCCTCATTGCCATTTACTTCAGATCAAGTGACATTTCCTTTGAGAAATTGATATTGTGTATTGATTTCTCACCCAGCTAGATGTAACATGAGTATGAAGGAATAATGAAACATTTTAAACTAACAATAAGGATGTAATCATGTCATGATCCATATTGGGTGGTAACAAGGTTATTACCAATTTCATGAAATAATTGCCATGCTAGTTATAAGTGCCCTTCCCCAAATAGGCACCCACCCACCCCCTGCTCCTCCCTCCTGTTCTTAAATAGTGGGGATACAAGGAAAACCTGTTGGTATTCATCTTTTATTTATAAATTTTTAAGCTTGAACTAAAGCAAAATCAGTAAAGGAGAATAACAAGCACCCCTCCATAGGAAGTGCCCCCCCTTTTTTAGCTTAAAGTTGAAACAAGTACGCCGTTGCTTATTTGGGGAAATACAATAATCATGTTTGCCAAATATATGTATCAAACAATGTGATAGTATGATAATAATTACTTATCTGTACGTTATGCAAATTTGATTGGTTTGTTTGTGTGTAGGTGGCAAAAAGTTGGGATAAAGCCATTGCTCATGGTCAAGATTTTCTTGTTTACTCTTTCCTGGGGGCAGGTTTGTATATTCCCACTTTTTGAATGTCATTATGACTGGAAGTTATTTAAATTTTTTCTCAGGGAAAACTGGAAAGGCTGATAGAAGGTTGCTCTTTTTTTTTTACCCATTTTGCTCACCAGATTTCATTGGTAATTCTCCTTACTACCTGCCATACAATTCTAAGGATGTTAGTTCTGAGAATTTGATATTGGTTCAATTAATAATTCTCTGATTTATATTTTCCTTTATCCTTATCACTTTTCTGCTTGATTTTGTATCAATGTTGTGTTTTGGTCTCTCGTTGGAGGTTGTACCCTGGGCCTTCCTTGGTCAGGTCATTCATGGGTTTCAAAACAAGCTGGTAACTGCTGCAGTTCCGCCGGCTACATGATAACATGATGCTGGTTACTGTGGTCAAAATATTTTCCTTTTGGCCCCTAATGAACCTTTTACAGTTGCCTACTTTTGCAGAGTCTGACACCTACTTCAAAACATTTTGAAACCTCTGGGTCAATTTGCTGAATTCTTGGGCAAGACATTTAACCTTTATAGTAGCTCTGTTCATCTAACAGCTTTCTCTATCTGTGTCAAGTACAGATTTTTTCTGAACTTAATATCATTTAGCGTGAAAAATCAAACCTCTTTTAGGTGCTTACTTCACAGTTTTTGCCTTCTTTTTAAAACTGATTGAAACTTCTCACAGTAATAGTACATATCAATTGTGATAAACTGTGAGAGAAACCTTAAAAAATGCTGGGGTAGGAGTCCTTTTAGTAGCTTTATACCTCTGAAACATGTGGAAGCTCTAGTAAGATAGACCCTCTGTCTCAATCAGGTAACTTATGATTGATAGGTAGTTTAGTGTTAACAGCTGCGTTGAAAATACAAATTGGCCACTGTAAATATAGGAAGAAAGCTGACATTTCAAATGTTCACCCTTTGTCAGAGTTATTGACTCTTCTTAACCCCTAAACTCACAGAAATGATCGATAGTTATTTTCTCCTTGTAATATCCATACATCATCCTGCAGACAAGTAACAAGAATACTTAAACTTATCAGATGGAAGTTGTTATCTTGATCTAACACCAAATACTCATAATTAATTTACAAGGACATGTATAGCAGCTAGAGGAAAGAATTAACAATCGAAACCTTGGAGTATAAGAGTCAATTATCAGTTTGGGCATCCTTTTTGGTTGCTTAAAGGTGAAGAAGGGGGTAACACAACCTCCAGATGTACAAGTTGTCTTACATTCTCATATCTTTTCAGCTTCATTGGCATTTATTGTGCGAGTGCTGGTTTTGGTCACTCTGAACTTTGTTGTGAACAACTTTGGAAAAGGACTGAAAGAGATTGGTAAGTATGGTAGCATGAGACCTGTTTTTTGCAATGAAGTGTTAACCTTTTTCAGGCTTGGCTGCTTGTGACTCAGAGTACCAATGCGAGCCCGCTTGCTTGGTCTATGAGTGTGAGATGCGGTGTAGGCTTATAACAGTCACAGCAGGTGGGCCACAAAAAAAATTACTTATCTATGTTTTTTTGTTATTAATAGTGTTTAACCTGCCAGTGACAGGAGATGAGTCTCCAATGTTTCCAAGAAAAAGAAAGACAGCAAAGTGTTGTGGAATAGTTTTCTGTGGGCCATTTGGATGAGAAACTAAGATGGGAATTCCTTGCAAAGGACAAGAAAACTTCATTTAACCCTTTAACTCACATGAGTGACCAAAACAGAATTTATCCTTACGATATCAATACAATATCAACCAGATAAGTGATGAGAATAAAGGAAAATATCAATTTAAGGATAATTAGTTGATCTAATACTAAATTCTCTTAACTAACCCCATAAGAATTGTATGGTTGACTGTAAGGAGAATGACAAATTTGGTCTGGGAGTTAAAGGGCTAATTAGTATTAGTAATAGAGATGTAGCTTATAAACTTATGGAATGTAATTTAAATTTTACCCTGCAAGCCTTAAGCTTGTATCACCCATGCTTGTGACAAGACAAAAAAAATCTCTCTATTTCTTTATCAATCTCAAAACTTAGCATCTCTCTTATTCTCTTTACAAACATGACAATATCAACATTGCTTATCCTAGCAGTATGCAGGACATGTGTCTATTACTTCTTAACAGGCCTCAATCATCATAGTCTCTGTGGCTCAGTGGTAGAGCATCAGAATGTGGAATCTGAAGGTCTGAGGTTCAATTCCTCATGAGGACTCAGATTCTTGTCGTGACAAGATGAAAAAACATCTTTCTCTATTTCTTACTAAGATCAAAACTTACCATTCCTCTTATTCTATTTACAAGCCTTAAGCTGTGAAAGTATAAAAAAAACCAACTTGTCAGAGTAGGGTTCACTTTGTGTAGAGTTATGAGAATTTAACATTTTTTATTCAAAACCTTTGTCCAATTGGATTGGTGGTTAATACTCTTGAAATTCAACTTTAGATGGTACTCAGTATTCATATACCACTGATCATATATCCTATTTAACAGTATTAATTAGTTGATTAGAAGGAATTCAATCTTAGTTACCCCTCGAGTTTCTGTTTTGGTAATTAAGTTCAGCTCCCAGCATGTAGAGCTTTTTAATGCTCAATCATTAAATTTATCATGCATGTAATGCAAAGGTATTAAAATACCAACTAGTCAGAGTAGAGTACACTTTGTGTAGAATTGTGAAAATTTAACTTTTTTTATCCAAAACCTTTGTCAAATTGGATAGGTGATTAATACTGTTGAAATTCAACTTTAGATGGTACTTGGTATTCATATACCACTGATCATATATCCAATTTAACAGTATTAATTTGTTGATTAGAAGGAATTTAATCCTAGTTATCCTTCGAGTTTCTGTTTTGGTAATTAAGTTCAGCTCCCAGCATGTAGAGCTTTTTAATGCTCAATCATTCTAAACTGATCATGCTTGTAATGCAAAGGTATTAAAATACCAACTAGTCAGAGTAGAGTACACTTTGTGTAGAGTTATGAAAATTTAACTTTTTTATCCAAAACCTTTGTCAAATTGGATAGGTGATTAATACTGTTGGAATTCAACTTTAGATGGTACTTGGTATTCATATACCACTGATCGTGTATCCTATTTAATAGTATTAGTTGATTATAAGGAATTTAATCCTAGTTACCTCTTCAATAATTTCTGTATCAACCTCTGCATATAGAAAAAAGAGGAGACTTGATGTGTAAAGTACATTTCTAGAAATCATAAACACTTTATTCAAATTGTAATTTTTTTATAGATCGTTTGATTGTAGGTTTAAATATTTTGTACTTTAATTACAGTTGAGTTTTAATTCATACTAAAGTGTCTTTGATGATCAGGTGATGTTGCATTTGCTGATAATTAATGCTTCACAGTTATAAGAATAAATGTTAAAATATCATAGGTAACTAAGTTCTTAAAAGGACCTTGCTATATTTACAATTGGTGTATACTTGTAGAAATGATGACAATATAGCATTGTATTGACTTATATATATTTTAAATGAAACAAATCTCGCCATTTTTTTTCAGTAGGGTGATGTGTTAGTTACCCTTGTGTTTTTCAAGTAAAATAAATTTTGCCATGGAAATGGTGATGAAAAGAAAGATTGTGATTTTTTGATGAAGACTGCTAGAGGTTATCATCTCTTATACTATCGCACTTTTTTATTGCGAGTTAGGAGATTATTTTAATATCATCCATTCCCTCATAAAAACTTAGCAGACCGCTTCCCCCCTCCCCCCACTCTTTGCTCCCCCTCCCTCCCAATCTGACCCGATGACAAGGAACAGGTGCAAAGTTGGGCTCTTCCTTGGTGTACAAGACACAGTATACGTCACAATAGAATTTCATCACAACTGGGAATAATAAAACAATGAAAACAATAGTGTAATGTATTCTGTGTCTTCTACATTAAGTAAGAACCGAAGTCGTGGCAACCGGTTTACTTGGGTAGTCACGTAGTGTTTAATGCGTGACGATTGAGTCTTTCGGGGTCTGGGTGTTAAGAACGGGAAGTTTTCTGGGGTCTGGGGTCTGGGTGCTAGGAAGCGGGGAGTTTGAAATTTTGCTGCTTGACTTTGTGGAGTACTCGCACCGTTAACTACGATTTGTCAAGCAAGAGAGCTCGCGATCAATCATGGCTACGCAAAACTGTGCTAATACTAGTGGAATATTATGGGAGCGAGCCAAGCAACTCCTGAAAAGGGATGATTATGAACGACTTAAAACTGCGATAAAAACGTTTTCTAAGACACAATCGGTGGAAGGACTGTGTTCGGATCTCTTAAAGATTGTCAATTCACGCTCGAAGGTTGATATTCTTGTAGAAGTCAGGCGATGTCTTCCAGAGAATTTGAGGAACAGCTTTACCCGACATTGCAATGAGATACTTGAAGCCGATGTCAAACGAGAAGGAGACGATTTAAGAAAAAAGAGGAAAGTAGAACCGAAGGAAGGAGAAAACACTGCACCAAATTTCCAAGGAAGCCCAGCCAAGAAGACCAAGCCAGAAAAGGAAAAGTCACGGAGACCCGGAGCAGTGAAAAGGATTTCACAAGAGCCTGTTTGCTCAAAAGTATCTGCTAGCGTGGGTAATGAAGCTCAAAAGGCTGTCTTACTCGATTCAGTTGACTCTGACCAAGAAAGCAAAATCGTCGTTCTTGAAAGGAAATCCTTGAGTCAGGGATTTGGTTTCAAGATTCGAGGTGGAACTTGTCATCACCCTTCAATAACCGTGGCTCAAGTGAGAAAACATTCACTCGCTGACAGGCACGGATTGAAAACAGGCGATAAGATTATTCGAGTTAATAACCAGCGTTGTGGAAGAAGAAATCTTGTGGACGTAGCCCAAGTGATTGCAAATTTAATCAAGGCATCGAAGACGCTTCATATGAAGATCATTTCTGCTGAGAATGTCTCCGAAAAAGAATGCAAAATTCGCGACAAATCTGAAACAGCTGTTAGAGTAGAGGAGAAAAGATTCTCAACAGTTTCCGTTCATCCCAATGGAGATGGTTGGTTAGGCTGTTGTATAAGGGGGTAGGTATCCAATGCGGTTCTCAAAATGATAATGATAATAATGACGGTGATGATCAGGCTTAATTTGTCAAGATATGAAAACTGAAGCATGATATCTTGAACCTTTTGTATCCTAACCCACTTTTTATAGGTAACAACATGATTTCAAGTGCAATTTGAGGTTAATAAGCACATTTAAAAATTTCAAAGACAACAAAATTGCTGGGTGAGTGAAATTTGTAGTTTTGAAAAATTTTACAAGTGTTTATTCACACCAAATTGGATGAAAAATCATGTCATGACTTATCAATAATTAACATAACAAAACATCACAAAAAGTTGAGACATACACAATTTTGAAAGCATGCATGCTACTTGTAATTTGCATTCGTGTCACAACTTTGTGTTACACAACAAATGCACTAGTTTTCAGCCAATCAGGAGCATATAATTTTTTATGTATATTATAACTTTAATAAATTTTACAAAATTCCCAGATGATCCTCACATAATTTCTACATGGTGGGAATCAGAATAATTTCCACGAGTGAGGCAATGTCTCACAGTTTTACCTTGACTGAGTTGAAAAAAATACTGACAGGTCTTTCCCAACAATCAGTGCAAAACTTTGGTCTTATCCCATTGTTTCATGGTTTTTGTGATATGTCTTGGAAGCCTACCCACCCAGCCTGCAGAATATGGCAACTTCAGAAAGGATCTTTTCTTAAAGCACACACTGTCCATACCAGAATGATCATAATGCATATAGCAAATGGTAAAACTATAGGTTACTGTACTGTGCACATGTGAGTTTTGGTCCCAATGCATGTGGTGCATGTGGCTTAAAATGGCTAACAGTCTGTATACATGAGATCACACTGAGTTCTGCCTTACTCTGATCTCACACTTTCTTTACTAATGAAGCTTTTTTCGGTTTCTTAGTGGCAGTGATTATGATTGTGATGTGCATGTTATCTCCGTTGATAACCATTCTCCTGCACAGAGGGCTGGGTTAAAGACAGGGGATGTGATAACTAAGGTGAGCATTTTTATAAGTTACTTTTTAACTGCCAACTCTATCCCAGGAACTGAACCAGAGTGAGATTATATTTTATAATAATTGTCCCTCCTAGCTGCTGTTTATGTCCTTCCAGATTAAGTATGAGAAAATTGGATATTAAATCATTACAATACCTCTATCAGAGTAGATAGTGAATTCCATCACTTGTTGGTGGATAATGTATTTGATACTGCAAGAGGAAGTTTCTCATAAATCACTTTTGAAAGATTACCAGTTGAAAGTCTTAGATTTCTGATTGTGTTACAGCTGGAAAAAACTTATCAGTGGTTATTGTGAAAAGCAAATTTTGAATTTGCATGCTGACTAGAATTTACTGTTTGTCTATCCTAGGTGAATGGAATCAGGACAAGGGACTTAACGCATGTTCAAGTGGTAAGACTTGTTATTTTTTCAGGTCCTTGTGTCAAATTTTCTGTGACGTCAGAAAGTAAACCAAGGAAGAGGTTAAGGCCAGAGATGGTCAGAGAGGAAGCTACCCCACTGCAAACCCAGTATCATGGATCCCATAACATGACTCCTCCAGGAAGCCCAACCTCCAGAGGGCTTCACCCTCCAGGTTATCAACAGAATCTCTGTGATACAGTAATTGACTCTCCTTCACAACTTCCTATGGGTGTAATGAATCTAAATTGTATGCCGCCTCCTCCCTACACCCCTGAGGTACCATTGAGACACAGGGTGTTAGCAAGGGGAGAGAAGGGAAACGAAGAAATTGATGGACAGGCACAACAGTGTATTGATTTCATACAAGAACCACAGATTACCCAGGACCAACAGGTACCCCTGGATATTCAACATCAACAAGAAACATTAGGAGTGCTTCAGCAACAAATACAAAATGCCTCTACCCAACAAGAAGAAGTTATTGACGCCAATGAAACAAGCTTTAATGGAAATAAAGAAACTGTATCTCAAGAGAGTGGGATTATGGAAAATGATGATGCACCTGAACAAATTTTTATTCTGGAAGAATTTGACGTGCCATCAATGGAGAGAGAAGCTTTGATCAATGACTCTCAAGGAGAAATGTCAACAAGATTGGTGCCTCCCCCGCCACTGCCACCACCACTTGAGAGTGATGACGGCTCTCCTTCTGCCAGCCCATCCTCAGTCCCAGGTAGTGGAAGAGAATCCTTTCTCAGCCAGATAAGACAATTTGACAAAACAAGTTTGAAGAAACTGGATGTGAATCCTGAGGTTACTAATTGTAATCAGCTTCAAAGGATTTCCATTAAAAGTAATCCTGGAATAGATAACACGAGGCAGATGACAAAGGAAAAAAAGAACAGTCCACAGGGTAATGGTGCTCTAGAGAAAGGAGACTCCATGGACTTACTATCTTCTCTTCGTCAAGCAATGAAACACAGAGCCAAAGTACTGCATGATACCTTAATGGATGAAGGCAATGAAAGTGACGATGATGATAATGACAACCTTGACAACACCAACAACAATAATGGTAGTGAAAATGAGTGGGAACTGTGAATTTAATTTTTATTTCTTATTTTTGCACAGTGTGTACATTTGTAGCAAAACCATCTCTGATGTTGTATGCTTGCAAAATCATTATGCTTTGAGAAGAAGGAAATAACACACCATGTAACAAGTGATAATTTAATGTTCAGTGATTCAATGTATGATCTTTTGAAACAAGAGATCTACAGTGCCTCTTTTAAAATCATTTTAAATGTCAATTGGTAACCAAATGAATATAAATGCTTATGCCATCATTATAGCACACCTCTCTAAAAAATACAAAAATTTCAGTAGGACTACAGCGCATATCTCTAGACATATTTTAACCCAATGTACATTTTGATGACTAATAACATTTAGTAATTACAACTAAATAACTTACTAAGTAGATCCCAGTGGTAAGAAGGGTGATTAGTGTTATCTACTGGAGTATATATCTATTTGGTGTACAATGCAGGTACCTTTTACTAACACTCAGTGTATCTGCAGTAAAGCAAATTATCTGTTCTCAATATACATTTTTATGACCTGTAATAAGTATTAGTAATACATTTAGTAACATTAAATTATTAAGCAGGTCCCAGTTGTCAGAAGGGTGGTCTATGTTATCCATTGGATAAATCTCTCTCCAGTGTTCAGTACAATTACCTTTTGCTAACACACTGTATCTGCTGTGTAGCAAATTAACTGTTCAATAGCCTTATTCTGACCTTTCCAACAGCTGGGCCCACATGTGTTTGATACAGGGTTAACAGCTATCCTTAATTTCTCTACTTACAAATGACTTTCATGTACATGTTCAATAGTTTCCACTGTATTTTACTTTGAAAATAATGAAACTGTGCTTACCAAAAATGTGATTGGAATGATTGTGTTATTTTGTTTCAAAGAAATAACCAATTTGGATCTGGCATTGGAGTGCTAAGCTGATAAAAACAGCAGTAATTGATTAATATTCTTCCACATGAAAGTACCTTGATGTCTAAAAATAAACATGAAATATATCCAGACACGTGATTATATATAGTGCCAATAATAATTTCTCAAAATAGAAATGTAATATACTTTGTACTTTTTAATTTGCATGGGTTTTTTTTTTTCAGTCTATGCATCCAAACAAACAACTTAACCCCTTTTTTGGGATAGTTTGGAGTACAATTTGGGCAGTAAAGCTATTAACAATAATGTACATGCATATTCAGACATGTGTTAAAAATAATTAAACATGACTTGGTTGGCAATGAAGGAGATTCTCATTCATTCTTTTTTTCTTTGAGTTTTGCATTTTTTTTTTATGTTAGTCTGTTTCATGATTTATTTCATCTTTCAAATCCATGTCTTTACTTAACCCTTTAACTCCCAGATCATGTTTGTAATTCTTCTTACTGTCAACCATACAATTCTTATACTGATAGTTCAGAGAATTTAGTATTGGATCAACTAATTGTCCCCAAATTGATATTTTCCTTTGTTCTCATCACTTTTCTGCTTGATATTGTATCGATATTGTAAGGAGAAATTCTGTCTTGGTCACTCATGGGAGTTAAAGGTTGAGACCTTCTTGTTCTGCTCTTCTGACTACACATCAGATTCTTTTTCGTGTGCTTTTTGCAATGCTTTAGAGCATTTTGAGCAGCTTTTACTTTCTACCCAGTTTTGTAATATCTGTAAGATATCATGGCGTTGCATGTCATCAAGAATATTAATTATCCTTTCAACAGTGGCATTCGTTCCTTCTCTTTCACTCCAAACACGCAGGAGACTATCAGTTGGTTGATTGTTTAGGAGATTAATCTCACCTCTTGAAAACCCAAGGTGCTCACCAAAAATACGATAGTCATTAAAGAAGGGAGATTCTTTATCCAAACTTTGACACATCGTAAAGTATATTTTCCCAGGAATATTGTGAACAATTTGTTCCTGTTTGTCTGTCTTGGATATCTTCATGCATTTACAGCAGATAGAAATATCTTGGGCTTTGCTTGGCACTTCCACAGTAGGTGCCAAAGGCAGACTGTTTACTTCATTGTATCCATTCTGGGAATCAGATGGCATTTGTTGAGTTGAGCAATTGACTGGCCTCTCTTGGTCAGGGGAAGCATTAAATTTTGCATCATTCAGGGTGCTGCTTGCACCTTGGACCTCCTCACACAAATCAACACTCTGTACTCCATCTGCTAGAGAGCTGTTTGAAAAAGAAATGTGTGCTTCGCTTTGGGATGTGGTAAGGATTCCTTTCTCCTCCTCCACTGGCCATGTGTACCTTTCTCTCGGAGAAGGTGAATTTTTTTCTTGTAGCAGGCCCAAGGGTTCTTCAATTGATAACACCACAGTGATCTGAGCTTTCTGAAGCATGGTTTTCATCTCTTCAAAAGAGAGCCCTTTAACGGGTTGTCTGTTGACAGCTGTTATCTTGCATCCAGGGCTGAGATATGGACACTTGGCCGCTGGTGTTTCTCCAGCTACAATTTGCTTTATTATTGGGCATGGTTGTTCTAGTTGATTCTGTGCAAAGAAATTGTGTACATCTGCTCTCAGCATATATGATAAGGGAAGGTACAGCCAGAGGGAATGGGGAAATACAGTCTGAAACATGATGCTAGACACCCTTCTAGGGTTCCACCACTATCAGAAAACCTGATTTTCAGCTCCCTCCCTTCCCCCTGTGAATACTTTATTCTCTTTTCCTTTGTTGAAATGTGCTGGAGCAGGAGTAAAATGTGTGGACATGAAGATGTGAAGAAATGTTTCATCTGGCATTTTATAATGATTTGCTAAATCAGTTGTAGTGATAAAATTACACTGAAGTAGATGCATGTTTATATCATTATGAAATAAATGAATTGGTGATTATGGCAGGGAAAATGTTGACGTAGATGGAGAAAACACTGGAGAAGTATCAGAAAGATAGCATTTGATGTGGGATGATAGAAAAATGGGAGGAATAGATAGGAGGAAGCAGTAAAATTTGAAAATTGTGACAAAATTAGTTCAGGATGAAATGAGATGTACATATGAAGAAAATGCATCATCCAAATAATTTTACGGTGAAAATTGCAGGTTTAATTACCTTGGCAAATACAAACTTAAAACCGAGTGGCTCTTTTGAACTTTTCTTTTGTAACTCAGCTTGAAGTGGTCTCCAGTCTAAAATTGCTGGTGAGTCAATTGCAAGGCTGGTAAGGTGATCTTAAAAGGATAATGAGAACACCGTATTATTAAATGTTGAAGTAATAACTATGATATGGCTCCTAACTGGCTAACTGCCCAGGAGGAATAGAATACCATTCCTTTAAAACAATGTGCTGTGGATGAAATAAATATGAATAACTGACACTAATTGCTGGCCACAAACTACAACTAAAAGGAAGTTTGAACAATTCCAGGCATCCATGTGATTTGCAACTGTGCCAGACTATACTTCAAGATATGTTTGCAGTTGAGTGAAAGTCCATTTTTCTGTAATGAAGTTCCTGAATTTTTTGGTTTGTCTTCAGCAGAATGAACAGGTTTGTGAACTTCATCAATATTTTCAGTTTATAGGAAACAGGAAGTGGGTTTAAACTCAATGCTTCAGGAAATTCTACATTTCTATGACAGTATTTAATCAATATATGGAACATTAATTTTTGCAAAAGGGAAACATACCATTCTGTCTCCATTGCCTCTGTTGAACTGTTACTTTGATCTGCTTTTGAAGGTTCAGTTGGTGGACAATTTTCTGTAGTCCTTCATAAGTTTCGTTCTCAAGTTTACGTTCATTGATGGAAATGACAATGTCTCCATGTTTCAATTTTTTGTGGTTGAAGTCTGGTAGCTTGATGTTGTTCACCAATGCATATGTTTTTTTACTATCCTGGAAGTCCTGAAAAATATTCAACAAACACATTAGCCACTCCAATTCTGGGAATCTAAATACCATCTCTTTGCAATAAACTGAGGATTAGAGTTGAGTGTGTGTGCATGTGTTGAGGAGGGGGGGGGTGTGAATATCTTTTCACTTGCATAATTTCCTGTTTTACTTACTTAAGACCCTCTCTTTCTAAACCCTTTCTCCCATCAGTATCACCCCTAAAACCAATAATGACGTTATGAGAATAAAGGAAATGATCACCAACAAAAGAAGCTCTTGATTGTTAGGCAAATTCTCTTTGTCAGTACCATAGGAAATATGTAGAGAACAGTATAGAGGAAATGTATACTGATGATAGGATGTAAAGGGTTAAGTTGGGTAATGTGAAAGGAAGAATAACTAATACCTCTATTGGGCTTATGCTTGTTGTCAAGGAAAATAAATTGATGCAATAAGGTTAATTTATGTCAAATAAATGTGGATATTTTGATGTGGGACATAGAGACAGGGCATCAGACCTTTATAATCTTATAAATTTGTATGTGAGTGTCTTAAGAAAAAGTCTCACAAAAGTTTCAAACAGTTTTTTTTTAAGGTATGAGTTAAACTTTGAAAAATTTAAGGAGAGGTTAGCTAGGATTCTTGAGTGAATCCAGAGAGATTAAAAAAAAGGGAGGGAGGAAGGGAACAAAAATTGAGCTCAATATCATTACAGACAAAAAAACAAAATATTTAAAATCACCGAGAAGAAGCTTGTGTGGCCTCTCCAAATTCAGCATGAACTGGATGTGGTACTTACAGGATAAAAAATGTTGAGAGAAAATGCAGCTGAGAATGGAAGCCTCTTGACTCTGACTTTAATATCAATTGCAACTTGGTTTGGGTCCCAGAGATAAAATTCTTGTTGTTCTAATGGCTTTCTTATAGTAACACTCAGAACACTTCGGCAATTTTTCAACTTTTCCAAAAAGGATGTGTCGTTGCTCATAGTACTTGAACCATTGATGGATGTTATCCAGTCTCCAGGTTCCAAGATGTTAACTGCATTGCTGTTGTTTTCTATTTCTTTCACAATCCAGTACAGGTAAGCTGGATCCCTGTCTGCATCCTATGAATAGGGAGGAAACAGGAGTGATGATCAGGCTGAACAAGTGTGTTGTAATTCTACAGACATTTTTATTTGTTTTTGAGTTATTACTTTTCATGGGAAAAAAAAAATGCTATGTTGGTATGTAGAGTGGTATTTTGCTCGCACCAATCAGATTGCTGCACTGGGGTATGTATCTTACACCCACCAGATTGCCGCATTAGGGTATGTATCTCACACCAATCATATCACAGCATTTGGGTATTGTTTGGGGGCTATGCACAAAGAATGACATTACCCAGAAATTTTGGGCTCAATTAATAAGTGTAATGGTTTGTAGCCTTCATAAGAGCCCTGTCAATGAAGGTCAAGATTTATCGGGATGTGAAAGGTTCACATTTAACTTTTTGTATCATTTCAAAGTTAGAACGTATTTTTTCTGCTCTTTCACCCAACGTACATACCAAACAACTTACATCCAATTACATTCCATGAAAAGAACGTCCAAAGTCCAATCAGAACATACCCAATCATTGCACTACATGAACATTAGGCAATTTTTCACTTGCTTGAATTGTATTCCACCAATCAAATTCTATTTTGCCACAGTAGACTCCATCACGTGTTATTTCCTTGTAAACAACTTGCATTTTATCACGTATTTCACGCACAAAGAGCAAAGTACAGATAGGCAACAAACAATCAAGGAGTCCGCTTTGATATAACGCGGTCTCTCTCCAACAAGGAATAAATGGCGATGTGTGACTAGACCAGACAAAGGCTGCTAAGCAGACAACAGTTAGCATTTAGCGATATTTTCGTTTTTTTGTTCCTCTGATTGGACTATGGTCAGTGTTTACATAGTACGTGTGTAAAGTAAGTGTGCATTGTGGGTAAAGCAGCGGAAAATCATGTTTCAACTTGAAAATGATACAAAAAGTTAAACGTTGTGCACAACCCTCTGATTCCATGACATCATTTGCAAGAAAACAATACCCAAACGCTGTGATTGGTGCAAGATATCCAAATGCCGTGTTGTGATTGGTGCGAGATACCCTATAGCAGCAACCTGATTAATGCATGCAATATGTCACTACACGGCTAGGCAGAGTTATTAATATAATTTTTTAAAATAACTCAAAAATGCATCCCGAGATAATGATGTTTTTATTTGGTCAAACTTTACTGCTTGTCATATTAAATATTGGAATATTTACAAAAAATAAGTCTTTTTACTCTAACCTAATATTGATGGTGATGCGAGATCTAAATTTCATGGATATTGTATGTCTAACTTTGGATACAGCATGACAGAAATAGAACTCCAGAGGACTCCAGCACCTTTTGAAAATTCTATCCTTTTTATAATTGTACCCGGTGTTTAGTGAAGTTACTATCCTAGCTATGCACTGTTTCCCGATTACAAGTAACATAGTGAAAAGAGCAATCTGATAAATCAAACAATCAAGGAATTTTCAAGTGAGCTCGTCAGACAGAAATAAATTATGACGTAGCGAGGTCCATAGTCCATAGCCCGTTAAATTTGTCGGGATAACTGTATTTGGATCGAAACGCTCTGAAACGACTCGCTCAAGACCAGAGAATTCAACAAGTTCCTTAAAAAAGCCAATCAATTAACCTTTACAGCGGCGAAATGGATGCTTTTAAGTGAACCCCAAATTCTGGAACGGGTGCAAAGGTTGTTTCATGACAGTAGCTCTCCGTCTCGGGTTACGATGTAATTCGGAGTTATTACATCTTTTTCGGAAACAGCTGGCACACAGAAATCAGATTCGTGGCAATTGCAAAATAAAAAGTGTATAATTGACTGCTCAAATAATTAGCAATAGGAGACTTACGAGAGGTGAAAACAAGTATTTAAATTAGAAACATACTTGAACAATTCGGTTGTCAGTGTATAAAGACTTACCGCTTTCACTGAAATTGAACAACCTAAGGGACGATTTCCTTTCGTAGGGTACATCTCTCGTGTCATTTTTGGACCATACGTTGTTAGATCGGGCCAGTACAGCGAATTGTGAATGCGAGCTAAACTTGTTTGTTCCATGTTTTACGTTGAAGTACTTCGTAGAATTCATGGAAATGCGAATTGAATGTTTTGTGACTGAAGGAATGTGCTTCGCTGGTTACTAGATTTGTTATGGACGAGTGACACGCGTGATGATAGGTAAATTTGATCTCGTGATCGCCACATGCTTCAATTTGCTTCTTGCGCCTTTAAAATTACAAATTGTCCTGCTGTGTATAACAAAGGCACGTAAACATATTATTCGTGTAACCTCGATCGTAAACTTCTCCAATGTTCAGAATAACTATCTTAGAACGTGTTACTATGATGATTTTGTCTTTGCTCCACTTGCGGTCACTGCAAAGCAACACCTTGGAGCTCAATCACACAACTGTCATTTGGAATGGTCACGCAACAATCCTTTCTGGAGCGGAGGGGAATCCCCGCACTTATTTCATACTTGTGCCTATAAATAAGTCCATTACTTGCAATATGCGCTTCGACAGCATGAACATAAATATTTTCGAATCCTATTGGTAGTAAACAGAACTACCCTCGGTACATTTTATTTACCATCCCTGACGGAAAATGAAGGAAAAAACCAAAAGAAGAAACGGGAAGCTTCCCCTCCCTCTCCTCCCACAAGTCTACGTTTTTGCACAGGTCACCCATCCAATTTGGTTGTGCAACAGTGTTAGCGGTGATTCTTTCTCAGGACGTCTTTAGAAGGTAGAGAGAGAAAGAGATATCTCTTTTTACCAGACAAATGTGTCCTTTTTTAAAATTTTTTGGTTAAGATATATTCGAATAAGTAAAATTTCAAACTTAATCCAAGATTTCTAATAGTTGACAATGGAGTTAGGGTGGAGATCTGTGGTTCATTTTCTATCGGCCATTTTCAATGGAAATGCTCGTTTCGTGGAGAGATATTGAACTAGCCAGGGAAACTATCAAGGGGTGTGGTGTGGTTGTCAGGACACCTTTACTCCGAAATGTGGAACAGATTTTTGGTTTTGAGGACCGATTTAAACTGCATTTGAAAATGGAGAACATGCAGAATACCGGTAAGGTTTGAGAATTAGAAGGAAGGGGCGATTAATTATCGGGTTCGGGGAAGATTTTCCTACGGTATTTCGGTTGTCTTTTACAGACGCCTCATAGTGGTTTTCTTAGACCCTGTTTTGAGGTAATCAATATCCTTTTCGATTTCCTTGTTTGTGTGCATTTTAATGTTTACTTAATTTGTTACAGGATCATTTAAAATACGTGGTGTTGTGAACCAGTTTGCCAACATCCCTTCTGTGATCACCGAGAATAAGAAAAGTCTTGTTTCGATGTCTGCTGGAAATTATGGAAAAGCATTTGCTTTGGCAACAAAGGAACAAAACCTTCCAGCAACTCTGTGTATGCCTGAAACTGCTCCCATTAATCGAGCAAAACTTATTGAGGTACAAATTTAACCCTTTAATTCCCACAAGTGATTAACTTGTAACTTCTCCCTACAACCAAACAGGTAATGAGATTACTCGAAATTATCAGGTACCATAATTATACTAAAAACAACCGTTCACCTCAGTGTCAGCGCAGGCCACTGGTGGATATTTACCTTGCTACTTTGCAGCTTGGTAAATATCCAGTTATTAACACCTTTACTTTGATGAACAGTTGTTAAATATTGCAGATATATACAAAAAAGCAGGGAAAACCTACTGAATGTAAATTTTTCATGCTGATTTACAGAGTTTCGGTGTGAAAGTGGAAAGAATACCCACAAGTGAAATACAATATGCTATTGATCTCCATGTTGCTGAAGATGGAATGCACTTTCTTCATCCATTTGATGATCTTCATCTTATTTCTGGTTTTGCCAGGTATCATCTGTTTTCCAAACAATAACTTATGTGTAATTATAATGATGATGATATTGATCTCGATATTAACCCTTTGCACCCTAAGATCAATATTCATGTTCTCTATACTGTTTTCTATACATTTCCTTAGGTGCTTACAAGGAGAATTTGTTTAACAATCAAGAGCTTCTTCAATTGGTGATCATTTACTCTATTCTCATGTCCTTTATGTTTGATCCAGGGGTGATTTGTAAGAAGAAATTAGCCATTTCCAAATTACCTCTGGCCTCTTTTTCAAAACGAGGCCTGGTGCTCAACCACTTGTATGAAAATGAGTTTAAATTGCATATGAATTTAACTTATTATCATATGAAAGGCACCAGGACTTGCTTTGAAAAAGAAGCCAAAGATAATTTGGAAATGGCCCATTAGATACGAGTCACTCTGAGGGATCAAAGGGTTAAAATGCTCCAATGTATTTCACAGCACTTTACATAGGACTTTTGCTAGACTACACTGAGCCTCTGTATGAAGATCTTCAAAACTAGTAGCATTACAGTGATTTTAAAGGAGCTAAGGCAGGGCTAAAAATTGGCGGTCGCATGGTTGCCAGTTGCATGGTTGCCAGTGGTGAGTTAAAACTGACAAGGGTGACCAAAAGTTAAGGTTTGAACGCCCAATGCTACAGAATTTCAAAAAGTTGCAATGTAAATTATGCAAAGTACAAAGTTAAAAATAAAACTCAATATGTAGTTTAATTGGACTACCTTTCTCTTTGTTTCTTTGCCTGGACTCTAAGATCATCCGTTTTTAGCAAACTTTTTAGTTCTGAAATAGAAATTCTGAGCCATTTTAACAATGATTTCACTAGCTTGTTCTTTTCTTTTAGTTAACACTCCATTAAAAGCCCTGGGGCATTTATTGAAGTTTTTCATTTTAAACTAGAGGAAATCAAGGGCTGCTTCATTTTGGGATGGGTCACTAAGAATTCAAGGAAACTGGCCTGACTGGCCACCAAGCACTGGAATTAATTTTTAGCCCTGGCTAAGGTTCCTTTTTACATTTCATACCCTATTATTGAGGCCTATAGTTAATATGCACTTTATACACAAAAAACTATTTAGCGTAGCTCTTGAGATCCTGGAGGACATTCCAGAACCTGATGTAGTGGTTGTTTGTTGTGGGGGTGGAGGTTTCCTCTCAGGGGTTGCAGCAGGCATCAAGCTCAAAGGAAAGAAGAAGACCAGGATTTTTGGAGTGGAGCCTGAAGGAGGTGAATGTTTTGTGATGATCAAATATATCTTGATTGTGGTCTATTTTAACATTTTTGTGGCCTACAGAGTAAGCATAATTTAGAGAGCAAGTGCTCAGTAATTTCTTGGTGAAAATTATAACTGCTATCTTTGATCTTTACAGCAAGGGGGGGAGGGACAGTCAAAAGAAAGGAGGGGGGAAGGGATGGGGCATTGGAAATTCACTTTCCTTTCCCTATCCCCTTCCCCCACCATCCATTCTAACTCTCCATCAAACATGGTTGATTAAATAAATAAGCGTGAGCTTATAACATTAACTTACCCTAATAAGACACCTGCTTTGCAGACTGACATTTTTATTTTTCATTATAGTTTGTTTGTTTGTGTTTTGCAGCTCCAACAATGTATCTGAGTAAACAGCAAGGTCATGCTGTCAGTGTGAAATCTGTTAACACTATTGCTGCCGGACTAGCCCCACCCTATGCTGGTGAGAAAGAGTTGTAAGAGGGTTGTAAAGGTGGGGGGGGGGGGGGGGGGTCTTGATTTTGTATGGCACAAACTTTACAAAAATTCATGCATCACTTCTCCTTTACACAGCATTTTATGTGCCACAAATTTAAAAGGGAAAACTTGAAATCTCTCTTTTTGTGAATGAGGTTTCAGGGAAATCTTGAAGTCTTCACAAAATGAAAGGATGCCTCATCTCTCTTGCTGGTTCATAAAGTCACACATTACCCTCCCCTTTCTGTAAAATTCAGGTATCACACAAAAACCCCTTGCCACCCTCTTCTAAAATGGAAGAACTATTGGCAGTAGTTGCATGTTTTGGTTGTTCACATATGGTGGTAATCTTAGAGAGGTCAATATTATTTCATTAAATGATATAATATCATTTATTATTAACAATAACTATGAACATATTTATTTGATACTTTCTGCAGGGAAGAAAACTTTTCAACATGTGAAGGAGTATGTTGAGGACATTGTTCTTGTGACAGATGAGGAAATAAAGAGGTTGGCTAATTTGTCTGTGTAGTGATAACTTATTTTTCCATACCTGAATTCCACCTGTAAGTTCTGAGCTGTGCAGCTCCAGGGCATGTTTTCTTTAATCCTTTAACTCCTATGAGTGACCAATGCTGACTTTCTCCTCATGATATTGATACAATATCAAGCAGACAAGTAAGGGGGGTTATTGAAGGGGGTAAGTTGCCGAAGAAACTGTGGTGCTGTATCAGTGGGAGAGTGTAACAAGGTAATTTAGTATAATCAACTGAGTTGATAATGTTAATTGTCCACCATTAAGAATAAAAAGCTGATGTTTTGAGCATTGGCCCTTAACCTTTTGCTCTGATGAAGGGCTAACACTTGAATCATCAGCTTTATAACTCTTTATGGTGGCCAATTTACATTATCAACTCAGTTGATAGGACTAAATTACTAAGGGTATTATTACTGGTGGTTGATTCAATTTAAAATTCTCGAAACTAACTTCTTAAGAGTTGTATAGAGGATGGTGAGGAGCATTACTAATGAGATCTTTGGATTAAAAGGGTTAAATTTTTCTCTTCCAGTAGGGACCAAAAGTATTCATTCCTTTTAGGGGACAAGATGTGCTGACTTGTTTTGTCTGTTTTGATCCTTTTACAGGGCAGTGAAGACTTTTTACCAAGCTGGGTTAGTTGTTGAACCATCTGGTGCTGCAGCATTTGCAGCTCTACAAGCAAACAAAATTCCTGATTTGTCAGAAGGGAGTAATGTTGTTGCTATAGTGACAGGAGGAAATGTCACACCAGAAGAACTATGTGATTTGATGAATTGTAATTAGCAAAAATAGTTTACCTATTGAATCTTTGTAACTCTTTACAACCTAACATTAGTATGCATATTCTCTATACTGTTCATGCCTCTAACAAGCCAAACAAAATTTTTTGAAGGGATTGCATTCCCGAAGTTATGACAATAACCTGTTACTTGATTTTGGTTTATCCTGACTCATGACTCTTGCCTGAAGCCTGAATCAGTTGTGCTTCTGTCATGCTACAGTCAAAGCTAATTGTGATTGACTCAGGTACAGCATAAGCACAGCATCTGAACTGGGCTTTCATCAGGAAAGTAACCTGATATATTATCATTGTTGTTTGGGTTTGTTGGCTTCTGCTTCACTCTGTCATTAGCAAATAAACCATTTGGCAACAATTTTTTACATTCATGACAAACGTTATTATTTTATTCAGTTTAAAATGCTTCTGAAATATATTTACAATAGGGAATCTGCTGTAATCAGTTTAATTTAAACTTGATCAATTAGGTGCAATTCTCTGAAACACAAAGTGTGATTCTAATAGAATATTTAGACAATAAGAATGGTTGTATTTGTCTATAATGTGGCCAAACCTAGACTTGCAGAAGTTCATGTGATAGCATACGGTAAGCCTTCTATTTATAAATTGACAATAAGTTTTAACTAGAGGCATATTAGGTACATAGTTAATTATGGCCTAGCAACATTGATAGTGTCCTTGAGGCTGGCACCTCTAAGTGAGTTGAATATTTGTAAAATATTTTGTAAATAAGTTCAAGAGCAGAAATAAGACACAGTGTGATTTTATTCTATAGTGTGCATTGTAGGAGATCAAGGATCAATGTCAGTATCTGAGCAACAGCACACTTAACCCTCCCCTAACCCAACAACAGTCAACTGATATCAAGTAAGGGTTAATTTGGGTAGGGGGAGGGGCAAGTTTGCAGTTGCTCAGATACTGATATCAATTGCCCCTGAGTTTAACAGCTTATATATAAAATCATCCACTATCTGCAACTTGTTCATACATCCATAGCTTTTTGATAATTTGAGAAGCAATGCCAGATGTTTACATTGAAGTTTCATGTTGAACCTAATAAAAGTAATAATCATTTTAGTTCCAGTAATTTAGCCACCTTCCAAAACTTGTGAATATCACATGGAAACATATGAAACAGTTATTTAAGACTTTGTAAAAGTTGATTAGGAGATAAAAAATAAAAATAAAAACATTACATTTATTTTACGCTTAGTCTTTGTAAAATTGTTTTCTGGTATTCCGATTGCTGAATATGTATGGAGGAATTTGATTTCTTTTAGCATCTTTCAAAGCAGCTAAATTCGGTGGCCTTGTCACGCAAGCTTTCTTCTGTAACATGATTGCGTTCAATCAAGTCAATTCCAACAATCTTAGTTGCTGTCCAAGAATCCGAGCTTAGCTTTTAAAATCCTTATCTCAATCTTCCGTAAAATTCCTTAGTTAACGCTGCTCTTGTCAGCTGCTCTAGGATGTGGTCAGCAAAGCGAGGATGCACAATTTTAAGCTTCCCCTCGCATGCAATGAAAGCCACAGCTGTTCTCACTCTTGTTAAAGGTAGTCCTTCCAAATTGATTCTGAAATGATGATAAAAATGCTTCTTCAATGCTTCTAGAAACATCACGGATTCTTCTTCAGTAAAAATAGACGAGTCACTCATGTGGACAATGTCCCAGAGTTGTTTGGCATCCTTCCCTTCGATGCTGTAAAGGATTCTTCGAAGACCTGCCACGGAAGATGCATCATAGCAAAGTTCGATTGTCGGAGATCTCTCGGGCGAAGACATGCCAGCCCATAGCGAGAAATACCAACCGAGTTCGACTGATGAAAAAGTCATTGGAGTAATTCTACAATCAAACTGGCTTTGACACCAACTGATCAAATTTTTAGAGATATTAACAGGCCCGTTGATGAGGCATATAGGTAGACAGGTAAAGTGTTCTTGAAGTCTTGCGTCCTCCTCTTCCTCGCTTCCCACAGAGCAAAACAGAGTTGTCAAAATCGGAACAAGCGGTTCTACTTCCCCCACAGGCTGTAGCCGTAGACTGTCAGTACTGCAGACGATTATTTTCACAGCTGAAAATTTTGAGCCTTCAGCTGAAATATCTTTATGAACAGAGAATTGCACTTTGAATTTTCTTTCTTCGACGTTTCCATCTTCATCAACTAAAAGTTGTTTTTCTGTTTCCAATTGTAGAAAAGCTGACAGCTGATTCCCATAGGTTTCAAGAGAACTCTTGTTCTTCTGATCAAAGTTGTGAAGTGGCGAAGCCTGATGAACCCGCAGTGTTTTACCTACAATTTCTCGAACTGGATCTCTTATCTGTTCAACAACGTGCGCATTGCTTGGTAGTAAATTAGGGGATCCACTGGAATCCTTAAGAGTTGATGTTCTTCTTTCGATTTCGGTCGATGCAGTTTTCGATCGAAGGTTTTCTGTCAATCCGCCGTCACCGTCTGGATGGCTTCGGGAAGCACGGCCCGTTTTTGGTGTTTTCACGTATGGTGTATGCCTTCTTGAAAGCCAAGGAGATCGAGCGGACTTGGAATTTCTGTTCCTAGCACTAAGAGGAGTAAATTTTCCCACCCTTGTAGAACTTGTAGCGGATGTTGAAGGTGTTGTCAAACCTTCCTCCATTTTGTGAACGGTTTTCAAATTTGCGCGCTCGTTCGTTTGCATGGTTACCAAGCATAGAAGGAGCGGTTGCTACTACGACTGACCCGAAATCGAGGTAGTTCTGCCACGTTGAGAAACGAGAGTGGACAAAATGGTAAGGCATAAATTGCTTTGGCATTTTCCTGCATTATAATTGCTTTTTAAGAGACATTTATCGAACTGGTAACCTGTTGTTTGAATGTGGTGTTCTTCTTCTTCATCATGAAGGTGTCTGTGCTTAATACAGTGGATACCTCGCACGAGGATATGATCGTGAGTAGATCATGGAAGTCTCAGAATTTCCCAGAAACGAGTGTGATTATTTTAAAATTGACGACTGGTTCAGGAAGTTGATACTACAAATGATAAATAATGAACCAAAGGACATGTGGGGCAGTAATACTGACTTGTAAGCGGCTTTTAGCGGCGTCGAACATCTTTCATAACTCTAAAATACAATGATTTTTTCAAAGGAAGTTTTGATCCACTATGCTAGCTAGCTAGTTAAATGTTAAACTGACTTAAATAGAAATGTGAGAAGTACAAAAAGACCTTTATGTTCGGATTAAACGTTTGAATATCGCAAACGTAAATAAATTATAATAAAATCATCGTTGATTCATAAAGCATAATTTTCTCATAACTCTGTCAGCTAACCATGGTTTTTTGCAAAACAATTTGCAGATCACCTCTCACATTATCTTTGTTTATAATTTGTTTAGCATGATGCACAAATGGATTATTATGGCAAGAAGCTGGCGACATGCTCATCTGACCGAACAGTAAGAATTTTTGAGATCAGTGAAAAGAGTCAAACTCTTGTTGCTACTCTGAGAGGGTAAGTGTGAGAATTAGGTAGCTTGTATCTCTGACTACGCTAGTCAAGGCTGTTAATGAATTAGACAGTAGTTGGAAAGTAAGAAGTAGAGGGTGGCCATATTATCATGGAGGCCATGTTGTTTCATCAGAGTAAAGTACATGCAAGATTCAGAAGAATTCAGTTGAAATTTTTCAGGCATTCCGCAGAGCACATACAAACCTTCAAGCAAATCCTAATGTGGAATAAATTGACACATTTGAACCTGTTTCTGGTAAATTTTACACTCGGTTCACTTGAATGGGTAAACTGCGTTATGGTTGACTTGCCGGTAGTTTTGGCCTGCTACTAGCTCATGTTGACAACCTTACCAAAGAGCGATCTTTCACACAATTTGATTAGGAAAAGCAACACAACAATGTTTTGAACTTTTGTTCTCTTATTAAGTGGTTTTTGTCTGAATAGACTAACCCTCCTTAATACAGGGTTGTCGATAGAAAATGCAATAGACACACCATTTGAAGTTGAGTAGGTACCTGAATTGAATTATATTTCTTTAGCAAGCTGCATTGTTTTGCAAGGGGGGCATGCTCCCGAAAAAATTCCAAACTTTGTGAGTTGTGACAGCTGTCTGGGACATAACTGAGAAACTCTTTGTAGCCATGCATTGATGGTAGAATCATTTTAAAAACAAACATTTTCTGTCTCCATTCCCAATTTATATAGCTGGCACAAAATGATTTGACAGCCTGTGGGTTTCCACCACCTACCATCTTTTAATGACAACCCTGTAGATCTACTCAGTGTGATATATTGTAACCTTGTGTCTAATTTTGTCTGAAACACATGATCGAGGATATGACCAGTTTTAATTTTTGAATACATAAGAAATGGAAGATGGGAAGTGGCTAAGTTGAAAACTGGATAGTATAGGTGAGGTACATGCAACTTCACCAGTCGGCTCATATGCTTGCATGACTTTGTTTTGCATGGAATTGCAAAGCTTTTTTTTTTCCTTACAAGAGTGGGAGAAAGTAATATTGAAAACACTAACTCTTTATAAATAGACATGAAGGCCCAGTGTGGTCAGTGAGTTGGGCACATCCTAAATTTGGAAATCTTTTGGCTTCATGTTCTTATGATAGAAAGGTGAGTGCTTTTTCTTTTCTCTTTTTTACTGTAAAAAGATATTCATGTAACATCAGTATGCATATTCTCCATACTGTTCTCCATACATTTCCTTTGGTGCTTACAATGAGAATTTGTATAACAATCAAGAGCTTATTGTGTGTGCGATTATTTCTTTCATTCTCATAACCTTAATGTTTGGTCCAGGGGTGATAATGTAAGGAGAAATGATATACTTATCACTCTTACAGGTTAAGGCTTACAATAGGATAGCAATGTTTGAGACTGCATATCAGATAATTAACATTTAAGTTTACTTGCTCAGGTTATTTTATGGAAAGAAACAAGTAATGGTTGGACAAAGCTTCAAGAATTTTGTAATCATGACTCATCAGGTATGCAAAAAATTCAGTTATAAAGTAAATGGAAATACCTTTAAGTGTGGAATCTAAACTTCCCTTCATGTAAACCTGATCTGTCTGCTGTGCAGTGATGGTTAGCAGAAACAACATTAACAGCAAAATTGTTTTGTAGCAGTTTGTTGAATATTGTGGTGAAAAAAATATCAGTTTGGTGTAACAGAGGTAAAGAGAACAAGGATTAATATAGGACATGTACATTTGTATCTTTGGTTGCTCAGGCTTGAACATAAGTATTTGTAAATTCATATTTCCTCCCCATTTAAGCCTTTAACTCCCAAGATCTCATTAGTTAATTCTCCTTACTGTCTGTCATATAGTTCTCGTGATATTAGTTGGGAGAATTTGGTAGTGAATTAATTAATAATGTCCTAATGAATATCTTCCTTTATTCTCATCACTTATCTGGTTGATATTGTATTGATATTGTAAGGAGAAACTCTGTCTTGGTCACTCATGGGTGTTAAAGGGTTAACGGTTAATTTGTTGTTGTTTTTCTTTTGTCATTTTTGTTTTAGTAAATGCTATATCCTGGGCTTCTCCAGACTATGGTTTAATGCTAGCTTGTGGATCTTCTGATGGCTCTGTCTCTATTATAAGCAGTTCAGGTGAGAATAATTTGTTTGATCTTCCTGAGCAATACAACTTTCATTGCAACTAAGTGTTGGAAAGAAATGTTACCTTTTCAAGGCTTCTTTAGTATGCCCAAATGTTACTGAACGATTTGCAAGTTGCATTCTTTGTGTTAAGAACTTTGTTCTTATCAGGAAAGTATGCTCTAGAAAACATTTCATTTTTACCTCTGCTATTAAACCCTTACAATCTAACCTCAGTATCTTTATTCTCCATACTGTTCTCTACACATTTCCTTTGCTACTAACAAGGAGAATTTGTTGAATAATCAAAGCTCCTTAAGTTGGTGATCATTTCCTTTATTCACATGAACTTGATGAATGATTCAGCAGTGTTACAGTAAGGAGAAATTAGATCCTGGTCACTGTTGAGGTTTAAGGGTTAAAAAGTATTTGGAGGGAATTTTTCTGTCCTTAGATTCCAAAAGATGTTTTATTCTGTCATATTTTTAGGTGATGGACACTGGGAAACAATAAAAATAAGTAACGCACACACAGTAAGTACATTTATTTTTTTCTCAGATGACACGGTAATGAATCCTGCAATCTGATTTGTTCTTAATGTGGTCCTTATTTTCCTATCTCTGCCCATGGGCAATAGTAATAGATGAGAGTGAATAATACTTTCCGTAAGATCATTGACTGCTTTTCAGTAAAACATTGTTTTGACAATCCTTGCTAAACTAGTTCTGTTGCTTTTTCTAAAGTGTACTTACATTTTTCTCTCTTATGCACTCTCTAATTGACAGGTGTCAGATTGTGACAGTTACTCATAAACCAATGTTTCAAAGTTTTGCGGAAGCCTTTTAAATCACCTTTATCATTACGCAAATGAAAATGTTTTGTTGAAGCTTCTCTCTTTCATTTGCATCACCTCTGTTTTAACTACCATTTACTTGCTCAAAAAGTGTTCAGTTTATGGAAGATCTTGCTGTAATTACAGCCCTAAATAATTTTGGTTCTTTTAGAAAGAATTTCATTAAGTTTAAGGAAAAAAAATTAAAATGTTATTCACCAGCCTAAGTTGGTCTGTACTGAGTAAAACTGTACCCTCTGTCTTGAGTACCGCCCATCAGGTGGGCACAAATTTTCCTAATACGGACCTCCTGGCTGGTGAATAACATATGCACTATGTAAACATGGATGTTACACAGTCTGCTCTGTTGCAACATTAAGCTGTAGTAATTTTAACACTCATTGCTGTGTTTATTCTTGACATGCATGCTTCTATGCTGTCAAGATGTAGCTATTGAGTAAGATGAACTCATGATGCTGTTCACATACAGGGCCTTATTTGTAATCCTGTGTGGTGTAATTGTCATGTACATTTGTTCAATTAACTTAAGTACCATTGCAGCAACTGTACATGCAAGATAATTAGTTAAATCAACAGACTTAATGATGTGAAGTAGTCACTGTGAAAAGATTCTTTGCTCTGATGAAGAGCTAATGTTTTAAATGTTGGCTCAAGAATCTTCTTTAATGGTGGCCCTACCACAGAAAAAAAATTTCTTTAATGGTGGCCCTACCACAGAAAAAAAATTCCCTACAATAACTGCAGATACATTTTCAATCAGAAAGGCGATGAGACAAAAGAAAATATCAACAAATATATATTGTTTAATGTGAAAATGAGATCTCAGAGTTAAAATTACAAGAAAAGAGTGCCAAAAAGTTAGGAGAGTTGGTATTTAGATCATGGAAGTGAATGGGTCAAAGAAACCATGTGACAAAACTACATCTCGTATTGAAGGGGATGACAAAAATATTTTAGTTTGGCAGAAACACTGTAAAGCAGCAATAATAAACAAAGAAGAAATGGCAATGGCAAAGGATGCATTTGATTACTGTTTGTCTTTGATAATCAACTGACTTGTTTTCTTCTGTTTAGATTGGTTGCAATGCTGTTAGCTGGGCTCCTTCAGTCGTGCCAGGGACATTATTGGAGGGGGTAAGTTTCTTAAAGAAGAATGTGGTTCTGCATTGGTGGGGGTAATTAAGAGATGATTTGGTTTTATCAACTGAGTTGATAAAATAAACTGTCCATGGTAAAGAGTTTCTAAAGCTGACATTTGGAGCATGACAAATGACAAAGGACTGAGGTTTGAAACCTTAGATTTTAGGAACTCTTTAGGCAGCCAATTTACATTATCAACCCAGCTGAAAAAAAACCAAACAAACAAAAAACAAATTGTTATTATTTGAGGTAACAAAATTACCACAATATTTTAATGTTGTGATTGTTTTTCACTTCTTTTGAATAAAAGGGTTTCTAATATCTATGATTATTTTCATGTGTTGTCTTCATAATCCTTTAAACCCTAACATCAGTATGCATATTTTTCATACTGTTTCATATACCTTTCCTATGATGCTGACAAGGAGAATTTGTGTAACAATCAAGAGTTTCTTTTAGCCGGTGATCATTTCCTTTATTTTCGTGACCTTAATATATGATTCAGGGGTGATATTGTAAGGAGAAATTTGATCCTAGTTACTCTTAGGGGTTAAGGGGTTGAAAGGTATTAATTTTTTTGTTTCTCTGGGCTCTACATGCATTAGTTCGCAACATTTTTACAGTAGTTTGCAGTGTTTATTCACAGGGAAATAGTTTTTGGCTACAATCTTTAAAAAACAAAGGAAACTGTTTTGCCACTTCTTGATCTTAATGGAAGGTAAGATACCCCCTCCCCCTCTCTCTCAAAAAAGAAATTTTTATCCAAGGAGCTTTTTTTAAGAGGCAGAACTGGTTCTTATATCCAACAAATTCCTACCACCTGTAGTTGTCCATACTTTTAAAGAATCACAAAGAATACTGGATATTGTTTCTCCTCTTCTTTTTTCACCAGACTGGGGCAAAGTCCGGTCCTTCAGTCAAAAGATTTGTCACAGGGGGATGTGATAACTTGGTAAAAGTATGGAAGTAAGTCACAAATACAAGTAATGATCATGGTTGAATAAAATGCATTTGCTCCAGCCTAGGAATGAGTATTTTTGTCTCCTTGTTTGTGTGATAAAATCCAAGGCATGATTAAACCTGTGAACTTTGATTGGTAATGTGGCTCACAGTTCTGATTTGCAGTAACTCGTGTCATGTTATTATCTACATATCCTACTGTGGCATCCAGACTGAGGCTGGTCAACCTGTAGGACTTCACTTGGTCAGCCTGATATTAAAACTCTGGCATGAAATTGAGGTGGATAGATATCATACCTGTGTGAGATCAAGGCTATGTGTGTCATCAGTCAGTCCAAGATGGCAAACAGAAAAAGCTAATATGATCTAGCTTTGGATTAATACCTGCAGGACTGAAAAATGGCATGAATCGTATGCCTTTTCTAACATTTATACTTTACCCTGATTTTGGTGGCATTAAATTTTAGTAGATTTTTAGTGTAATCCCAACTCTTGTCTTTTATGTTATTATTTTTAGAGAAGTCGATGGCCAATGGGAAGAGGAGGAAAAACTAGAAGCACACAGTGACTGGGTCAGAGATGTTGCTTGGGCACCTAATGTTGGTCTCCCTATTAGCACCATAGCAACATGTTCTCAGGTACAGTATGTTTAAGTCATTGGATGTTAGGTTGTTTGTGCATTCAACAGAAGACATAAAATCATGTGTTGATTTGGCCTGTGTAGGATGTATTTCCTACCGCAATTGAGCAATGTAAAGGACATGATTATCCTAAAAAAGAAATGTGTTACTGTAATGATAATGGCTACCAAATGAAGCCTCCTTGGATTTTCAATTTAACACTGTAATTTTGTCAGAGGCCAAATTGTTCTAAGGAACTTGAAAGGTGTTATTACTGTAAGAGTAAAGGTAAGAACGTGCAATTTACAATTTTTTTTAATGAACTTTTATGCAGGATTGTCGTGTTGTTATCTGGACAAAGGATGAAGTTAATGGAGGAACATGGACTTCTAAGGTATCCTAGAAATTTGAAATATAATTAATTCAATGTTTATTAAGTTTTTCAGTCTTTATTTCTTGTGCCAGTAAGGGTTTGGCTGTCAATTTTATGTGGATGGGCTAAGTTGGAATGGCTATTTTTCTTATTTAAAACAACTAAGTGTTTTCTTGCATGAATTACAGTGAGTTTGGCAAGGGGTTTTGGGAGAAAGTCTAGATAATTTTGCCAATAAGGTTTCCAGTTTTCAAGACCTTAAAAAAAATTATGATTAAAGAGGTCTTCATTTCCATGTGTGAGTATGTATAAAATAATGGTGTTTGTTTTCTCTGCAGGTTGTAAAGAAGTTTGGTGATGTTGTGTGGCATGTGAGTTGGTCAGTCACAGGCAGCATTTTAGCTGTATCTGGGGGAGATAACAAGGTATGCAAGAACCAGTGTTTTTTAGCTGTTAGAAAAGCATGGGATAGGTTAGACTACACATAGGCCTCATTTCGCAGTATATTAAATTGTGCAAGTTGATAAAAATCAGTGATTATACATGTACATCTTGATGCCTTATGTTTGTCCCTTGGGTATCACTCCCAGCATTGGTGTGCTGCCACCTCATTTTTTCCCCTAATCTGCTAAAAAAATATGGGATTTACCAGTGGACATTCCATGAAGTGGCTCTTCTTGTCCCCTTTTTCTGGGTTGAATGGGAATTTAGAGTGTTGGTTTTTATGGAGGAGGAAAATGGTGAACCTGAAGAAAAACCCTTGGAGCAAAGATGAGATCCAACAACAAAAACTCAACTCACATGTGATACCAGGTCCAGGAATGGCACCATATGTTGTGTTTCTATATACAGAACAATACATGGGTGTACGTAGATATGGAACAACACATGTGTGTAATTATTGTATTTTTTCATACGTGTTGTAACATTTTTTCTCTGGGCTGGAAATCCATGTATAACACCATAATTATATGATAAAGAGGTATTACAGACAGTCTGTTGATAAGTTATGGGTTGTTTTGGAGAACATTTAAACAGAGACAGCTGATGGTTTTTTAACCTTTGATACATAGTTTATTTGCATTTTGTTGTTGGAGCCTTGTATTGTGGGTCACTAAATCTCTTTTCCTTCCATAGGTGAGCTTATGGAAGGAGTCTCTAGAGGGGCAGTGGGTTTGTGTCAGTGATGTGTACAAAGGTCAAGGTCAGGAGCCACAATGATGTCACTGTGATGTCACATAGCCATATTTAGACAAAGAACTTTTTTAAATATCTTGAGAAGAAAATGTGAGATACATCTGCATCAAAGAACTTGGACCTGGGAATGTAGTTTGGTTACCTGAGAATGAATAGGAAGATCTGTTGGTCAGGAGCTTTGCTTCACAAGAAACACAGCACTACATGGTTTTCCTGTTGTTTTGGCTGTAATTAACAGCTTTCTCATTGCTTGTAAAGTTCTGTGTTTATGGGCTGTGGTTGATGTTGATGTTGATGTTGATGTTGTCAATGTTACGGTTTAAATAGGGAAAGAAAATCTTATTTCTACAGTACATCTGGTCACTTTTAATCTGTCAAATTGACATACTCTGTTCATAAATAGTTAGTACTTGCTTTGTGAATAAAATTGAAGAAACTTGTGTTTGACTGCACAAAGTTATTTACTGATTTTAATCATGTCAGATCTGCTCTGCTCACTTTAATTACCATGAAAGGGAAAAGTTTTGGCACCCTCTAAGACTACTACTTTTTGAACTTTTCTATAACTCTCATTTATCTTCCCATCTCTCCTGTTTTAATGATGCCTAATGGTACAAAATTATTGCAAATTTCAGGCAACATTGTTTTTGGGGGAGTGGGGAGCTGGAAGTAAGTCATTACAGCTGAATTGTAGGATTTCTGTTTATGTGGAGGGCCTTTTACCACCTGGTAAGGAAGGTGAAGGGTTGGGGGGGGGGGGTTATGCCAATCTATTGTGCCACTCGATGTAGGTAGACAGTATCCGCCACAAAAATAAACATATCTATGGTCAGTTAAGATTTCTGTTTTACACAAAACTACTTTTCCATCTTACGTGACTTTTCCATCACACATGACTACATCGTGAGACAAACGTAAAACTAAGCTTTTATACTTTTCCATCTGTTAGTGAGTAGGCAATCAATTAAGAAATTAAACACTCTGTATCTCTTTGTTGGGTACCGATACCTGTTCTGATCTACGTAGTTTGTAGAAACGAGTCCCACCTTGAAAAAGTTCCTCTATACTTCCATAAGTCCTCTTAGCTTTGAATTGGGAACAACCTCGATCAAACAACATTTTGTCTCGGACTCCCATGCAATTTGAAGAAAAACTGAACCTGGTTTTTGTCGAACACATTTAAGAAAGTAATTGAAATAGTGGAAATTATAAACTTAGCCCGTCTAAAAAGAATTGTGAAAGATCAATTGTTGTGTGAGTCACGGAATTGATTGGAAGCTATGTATATGTGAATGGCGGAAGTCACAGCGTTACGCAATCACGCGTACAACCACTTCCGTGACGATCAATTTGCATAATTTATCTTTTCGAGAAACGAAACCAGCTTTCGAATTCCCGGAAGCAGAAACAAGGTTTACAGTAAGTGATTTCTGTTGCTTCGCACTTTCTTTAGTAAGTAAATGGTGACATGAAGATGGATTTGCGATCAAAGTAGTTCCTTTACATCTTGAAAAGAAAGTTTTACCCAAGGTAAGTCATCTCGCCGTGAGAAATATTCGTATCATAACCCGGACGCCAATAGCACAGAAAGTAAATATGTTCGCTAGGATTTTGTTCAGAATGAGTTTGGTGAATATAACAAGTATTGAGCCGAAGGTTAGAGTATTTCACTAGGCAACAAGTATATTTTTCGATCAGCCGATGTACGTATACTGCAGTCAGTTGAAACAATTTTAAATCACCAGCTCCAAATGCAAAGTGACAATGTTTTGATGGTGGCAATTTTTAAAGTTGCATTCTAATACAAACTACGGCAGTTAATCATGAAATACCGCGTAGAGATGAAAAGAAGACATATAGCAGTTTTATTTTCGGATCGGAGAAAAACTTCCTATTCGAGATCTTCATGATGGTTTTCACAAAAATGCGCCTCAGCGCAAATCCGATCTTATAAAGTTATATTTGTTTTAGGTCAAAATTGTGATTTAGAGCAATACAGACAATTTTCCTCAGTGCAGTAACTAGAGATTAATTGCTCACATCTATCGAATATATCGCAATCAGGTTCAGTACTGAAGCTGGTTACGTTCGTTGCTTAATCATGGTACGAAAGTATGATACCACTGACAGTGCTAATGTGCCTCGTAATCGGCTGGTTAAATTGAATAGTTTCCAGTGGAAACGTGTGTCCGATTTTTGATTAATCTTTCTAGTTTAGAAGCAAAGTTACACAGAATTTGAATACGGAAGACTTTCATTCTGAATTTTTTGGTATTATGTTCATTTAAAAAGAACTCTCCGAAATTTAAAACTCTTCACTTCATCCTTATTAATTATTAACAAAATAATTTCTAAGCAGTGAAGCCTCTTCTCTCTTACTCAGACCATTTTAAGGTTACTTCCCAACTTCGCGGGTGTCCTTCGGAAAAATATTCGCACGCGCCCTAGTTTCACTAAAATCCTAGAGAACTATACATCAGAAGAAAGCTTACTAACTGCAGTTTACGATGAAAAATAATTTAAGCGACTTTTCCTTTATGGAAGTGTCAAGAGCCTGTAAGGCGTGAAACGACCGAGGGTTATTCTAATGAATTTATTGGGTATCGGATGCCGCGGCACGAGCAAAATGGCTGCACAGTTTTATTCACAAGGCATCAATTAACTTACGTGAGCCAGGCTTTTTCGATATTCTGATTGGCTTTCTAGGTTTCGGTATAGCTAAAAATATGCGAGGCGTGTTGCGTAAATGGAAACCACGGGACAAATATTTACAATTTCGAAATCTCCCGACACACTTTCATTTGTCTTGGAATGTTTTGGTGAAATTTGACGAGAATCGGTTAAAAATTTAAGAAACTTTTTTTATGGAAACATTAGGTTAAATGTTTGAATTCAGTTTAGTCAATTAAAGGAAAAATTGATTTTTTTCGGCCTCTGAGGATGGGAAGTAGCCCAAAAAGAGGCACAGTTAGTGAATATTACACCACATAAAACGAGGATGCGTTAGCCCGCGGAAGAGACCAAACTCCTGTTCAGCCGGGGGGGGGGGGGGGGGAGGGGAGGGGTAGGAGGGTAGTTTTGCACCCGATGATTTCCTCACGAGATACCAATGTACCTTAAAATTGCACAATCTTCATCACCAAATACCTCAAATTGCCTACAGTTGTTGAATCGTGTCAAATGCTAATTCACAACAATCGTGAAGAATAACATAACTACAGAGAAAGCGAATACCCGAGACCCAGGAAACCTAACTACCCAAAATCCCCGGCCCGGCCCGCAAAATGGTGGCAGGAAATTATAAACATTTGATTTTCATTACAAAGAAAATTTATTCCAAAACGTAAATAAAAACCCTTCACATGGTTATGTAACAAAGTTTAATCAAGCAAGATGTTGTTACAGCATAGAGAATGAGAGCAAAAAAACGGGGGCAATTACATCGCCGGGAGAACATGAAAATGTCCGTAAACGTGAGCTATTTATGACTGTCAGTGCCCTGATATTAAGAGATGCATTGAACTTAACCTCAAGCGCTTGATTATCTTTGATATTTTCAGCTTTCCTCTACAGTTTGCGGAAAGCAGTGGATGGGGGGGGGGGTGAGGGGAATTCTGCAGTGCTAATATTCTATTTCTTGGCAGGTCTTTAATGGCTTACGCTGCACAGAGATGGTCCCTCATGAATCGGGTGGGCAAAGTTACTCTCCATTGTAAAAAATGCAACACAGAACTGGCCACGAAGGAAACTTTGATGCTGGCTAAGGTACCCCCCTCCGGTACCCACTTAGCCGTCCGCGAGGGGAAAGAGGAACAGGTAGAGGCAAAACTTCATAAGGTCGAAAATGAAAAGGGGGGGAAAAGTGCACGGTACTGCCCTTACATTTTTCATTGCCGAGGGTGTGGCGAACGCGTTGCAAACATAACAAAAGTGGCAGGGAAACAGCTTATTTGTTTTGGAATAGAATATTTATATATTTTTCATTGTGGAGGATCATGGCGAAGTAAAAGGATTACGGCAAATAAACTGTCGAAAGTGAGCAAGGAATTGGAAGAAGAGTGTGGAATTGAAGTTGTCAACGTTACGACGCATGCGCAAGAGACAGGAAGAATACACCAGTCCCGTGGGGATAGCAAATCCATGGTTTATTGTGATACAACGTGGGTTGACTCACACATCGCGCGAAATCGATTACTTAACGCGTCTAGTCCCGCGAGATTATCAGCGGGAGTTGTTCCTTTCTGCGATGCGCGGTAATACGCTGGTATATCTTCCCACGGGCTCAGGAAAGACCCTGATTGCAGCCATGGTGATGGGTTGCATGAAGAAGTTGAATCCAAGCAAAGTTGTGGTATTCCTTGTCGACCGAGTACCGTTAGCGTACCAACAAAGTGAGAAGATCAAATCACAATTGACAGGTTTAAGGGTTGAAACGTTGGTCGGTGAAATGGAATCGCCTCAAAATGGGGGTATTCATAAAAGATTAGCTGATAACAAGGTTGATGTTATAATCTTAACACACCAGATTTTTCTAAATTTTTTAGCCGCGGAGGACAACCGACCCATTCGCCTGTCCGATATTTCTGTTCTGGTTTTGGATGAGGCTCACCACTGCAGCGGGCACCACCCTTACTACAAGATTATGGAGTACTACAAAAAGACACCAAACCAGTTTAAACCTGTTGTGCTCGGTCTATCAGCCTCGCCGGCCGGAGAGCTTACAGTCGAAAGAACCAGTGAGAAGCTAAAAGAGCTCCTTGAGAACTTGGATTGTAAAATCGCGATGCCCATTGAGTCGGATTGGTTGTTACATGTAAATATCCCAGACGTGATTTATGAAAGATCTGACTACATGAACACTGACCAAGTTATCCTCCAGCTATTTATTGAAGAACACATCAAACATCTGATAAAGAGCCATCTCAAAGATGTATCAGATCGTCAACGTTTTGAGTTTCCCGTCTTCTCATCGAATTTTAGAGGTGCGCTGAGAAAGCTTATTGACAGTTACCATGGTAGCAAGAAATCCTTCAAAGCGCTCACCGTTGCTGAGCATGCAATGCACTTGCTCAGCGTTGTTGAGTTTTGCGAAGTCCTTGGTTACCAGTATGCCGTTGAAAGTCTCAAAGAATGTGTACACCGCATTGTTTACGCTAAGTCGCCAAGAGATTGTGCCTTGAAGAGGCTAATTGGAAGTCAACCTACTTTTCAAGCACTCCAAAATCTGGCAGACCAAGCATGCAGGGCTTACCACGTACGCGCAGTTGTCATGTCGGACAGGTTCAAAATTCTTGAGAAGCACATAAAGCAGTTCCTTTGCCGAGCTCGGGAAGACTCAACTTCTAGAGGTATCATTTTTGTGAGCTTGCGCAAAACGACCTTCAAACTTTGCGAGCAGATCAAAGAGATCCCGGATGTGGCCAAAACGTTAAATCCTTCCCCTTTCGTCGGCCATGGACAAGGAAGCTATGACGGGATGATATGGAAAGACGAACAAGAAAGGCTGTTGAAAGAGTTTAGAAAAGGAATATGCAAGCTTCTGATTTGCACGAGTGTTTTGGAGGAAGGACTGGACGTACCCGAATGCAACCTGGTCGTTCGCTTTGAGGGTGCAGCAACACTTCGGGCGCTGGTTCAGACCCGCGGGCGCGCGTCCCGTAGACGTGACAGCAGGTTTGTCGTCATTTGCAACGAAAAACAAGAAAGAGATGCCAGAAATCTGTGTCTCAAGGAACAGAACATGGAAGAAGCTATCAGATGTTTGATGGATGACATGAGGTGGCAATCACAAGCAGTTGAATTTGGATGCGAAGTAAGAAAACCAAAGCTCTTCCTGCCCGCCACAGAGGATAATGGTGTGAATACTTCTCCAGTCATGCGCCACAGCCCTCGTATATCTGTCATGGTGCACAATATGGTTGGTCAAGAATCTCGCGTGATAGATTTTCTGAACGACACCTTTGACGTGATATCTTCAAAGCCAATCCAGTCCATTTCATCGCTCGCTGATGCACCTAAAAAGAAACCTGTATCACAGGATATGGCGTTTGAACTCGAACCAAGCGATAATAAAGAAGCCAAGGAGTTTCGCTCAAAGGAAGAGTTTGCATGTCACGTGACAGAAGCGTGGTGCACGTGCCTCACCGACCGTGACGAGGAACCACTTCCAGTTTGGCTTCAGGCCCTGCCATTAAAAAGACGCCGCAGATCTAACGAGCCATTTCACTGGTTGAAAGCAAACTCCTTGTGCCTGGGTACTTTTGTGAGTCAATGCCATTTTCAGTGTGAGTGGCCTCTGGAGACCACACTAAAGAATATTAAGATTCATTTTGATCACAGCTTTAAAATGCTGACCTTGCATTCCTCCAGGCAATCTTCCATCGTTCCTGGTCAAGGTGCTGTTGCTAGAGGTCCATACAAGATAGAATTTCGCTACGACGAGATTGAAGATTTCATAATCGTGGATTGTGATAGTAATGCAAGAATCATCAAAGTTTTTCTGACAGTGAGACACCTCCACGGCTGTATCGCCAACTGGAGGACGAACAAAATTTTTTCCACCTCGCTCAAATAGATGAACAAGACGATGAAGATGATTCAGTCGACTCGTCAAGTGAAGATGACTCGGAAACCGAAGGCCTCTCGACCGACGAAGAATATGCGGATGTAATAACTGCCGATTTTCATGACGCCTCCCCAGATGTCTCACGTAATCTCGCAGATAAAGGAAGCTGGGAAAGGGCGTCAGATTTCCACAATGGTGAAAATGCCGTAAGCCAGTGCTTTACCTATTGTGTTACAATACCATTTAATGAACTTGTCCAGTTGAGATGCTTGTTGACCACAGTCGAGAAAAGATTCCACAAAAGTGCATTTTACTGCCGAGTGAAGGAGAGCTATGGGAAATTACCAGATGTAAACATTCCCGATAGTTTGCCATTTGACGTTAAGTATGCCGCTGGAAGTTTCCTCAGTTTTCATCCTTTGGTTCGCGGAAGAGTGCCATCTGGTAAATTTGGTAGACTTTTGCTTGGAAAGTCTTCCGATATAGCTATTGCCGCTTTGGAAAAATTGAGTAAAGTGTTGGAAAAAGACAAGTTTTGTGACCCAGGCAACACTCTGAAGTCGTTACTGAAACAAAACAACCCATCGACCTCCGGGATGTTTAACAGGTTGGTTCCAGGCCATTGCGCTTTGATAAAGCGCGCGGTCATCACCCCAACGAGGCTGCTCTTCTATCCACCGGAAGTCATGGTGAAGAATCGCGTGCTCAGAAATTATGATACAAACGACTTCCTCTGTGTCAGTATTCGTGACGAAGACCTGTCAAAAATGTCTGCAGCAAGAGGGAACATCGACGATCTATTAGACGGAATGAAACTCAAACTAGATGAAGGACTTGAGATAGCTGGTCAGCGGTTTCAGTTCTTGGGTTCCTCGAACAGTCAGCTTCGCAACCATAGCTGTTGGTTTGTAGGGCCCAGATATCTACCGGACGGCATACGTCGCTGGATGGGAGATTTCACCAAAATCAGGTGAGTGAGTACTATTCCTTTTTTCAATTTCCAACAAGTGAACGTTTCCAGTCAAAATTAACAAAAAATTATTCTCCAATAAAGCGATATCATTCCTTCAACCAGTCTAGCCATTGATTAGAGGTGAACAGGAACGCAAAGCATTTGAATAGAGTACGAGATTAACAAATCTTGGCTACTTAGGCACTTTGTTACGGGGAAGTGATCTGAGTCTAGAAGTGATGTTGTCACACATTCACCTGTGAGATTCACCATTAGTAAATGGTTATATGCACTTTATTTAGGAAAACTGCAAATTACAAGGTATAATGGGAGCAAAGTATTCCGGAACTGTTTTGTTTCACATCACTCGGTGATTGGTCAAGGAAACCTGTTCAGCCCTTTCCGTCATGGAGGTGCAAAACTCAAATTGGTCATGACTCAGTTATTTGCATATTACTCCGTTTTACGCAGTTTGCTTGTTCATTTTTTTTCTATTTCCCTTTGGCTCGTGTGATATTTTCCTCTGTTCTAATTGGCCATATGAACATTTAAATGTTTTCATATTGCTTTCCAATAGGTGTGTTGCCTCATACATGGCTCGTATGGGCCAGTGCTTTTCCACCTCCTTAGACGCTGTGGGGTTTGCGACCAGTGAGGATACCTATCATGACGTAGAAGATGACGTTGAGACACCTGACCGAAAATACTGCTTCTCTGACGGAGTCGGAAAGATATCCGAAGAGTTGGCCGCAGAGGTATGGTGAATATTTATTTTACTTCGGAAAAAGGGGAGGTATTCTCCTCTAAATAATAGCCCGCTGAAACATAAAGTAGTACAGTGGTGTAAGCCACTTCACGTGAGGCGCATGGAAATTGCCATTTGCGACCTCCCCCCCCGTTTCAATAATCCTTTTTACGTTCTTATTTTAGGACATTTACGTGTATTTAATTTCAGTTCTTATTTCCTTCTTGTACTGATTTTAGGATTATGACAGTCAGTCCTTCGAAAAGCGCTGCAATACACTTTACGTATTTTAGAAATTTAAAGAGCTTCTGATATGTTGCGAAATCTTCATTTGACAATTGAAGCTTTCAGCTTGTAGACCTAAAGAAACGCATTCTCTTTCAGGTCGTCCGAAAAATTGGTAAAGCATTTAAACCATCCGCATTTCAAGTCCGTTGCGCCGGCTACAAAGGTGTCCTTACGCTAGATCCCAGACTTCTAGGGAAACAGGCCATCTTTCGTAAGAGCATGTGCAAGTTTGGTAGCTTTCACCGCAGACTGGAAGTATTGCAAACGTCTCGTCCTCAGGTCGTTTTCCTCAATCATCAGGTCATCATGCTTCTATCCAACCAAGGAGTCCCGGATGAAGTCTTCATCAAATTGCAGAACGACATGTTGGACAAACTGTCAGGTAAGAGGATGACGTCAAGAGATTCGAGTCAGAAAACGTCCGACTTAGAGAGGATGATCACTTAATTACATGGGAAAAAGTGAAAAGTTGCGTTTTGAATCTGAGAATGTGTAAGCTGATAAAATATGGAGAGATGCGGTGTTTGCACCTTTTTTAACGTTATGTTTTGTTTCTGTGCTGGCTTAAACCACCCTATAACCATGCGTTTAAATACATGCTACTGAGCAGTACATGTGATAGTTACGCTAAATAGATGTTCGATAAATTCGTCACTTAGATGAAAGATTTTTAAACTCTGCATTTTCATCCTGTGAAAATTGTCTATATTACCACAAAACCGTCCTACTAGACTACTGTTGCTGCTTAAGTTAGAATTGGCAAAGAATAGAGTTAGTGTCCAGGCCTCACCTTCCTTCCTTTAATTCCGTCTGGTATAATAATCCCTCATATTACGCCTGTTTTTTGTTCAAAGGGATGCTTGTGAATGAACGTGATGCTATTCAGCTATTGGGAAGTGGAGCCAAAATGGGCGTGTCCTATCACAATATTTCTAATGCAGGGATACCACTGACAACGGAGCCATTCTTTAAATCGCTGCTGGTCGCCATGTACCGAAATCATATGCACGAACTGCTTGCCCGAGCCCGCATTCGTTTGCCACCAGCGGAAGCACGCTTGATGATGGGTGTGATGGATGAGCTTGGTGTATTGAAATCTGGTCAAGTGAGTTTTTTTAAAATTTTATTTTATTTTCAAGTTTTACTTTTCTTTATTGCTCACCGTGAATCTGAGCCTGGTACGGAGGAGTCTGCCTTAATATAATTTGACAATAACGGCTTTTTTTACAAATGGCCCTTGAAAACTGATTTTTTGAAATGAATACAAATTTAACCCCTTCACAGCAGATTTACACAATAAAAACATCACATTTTGCGATCGAACTCCTCGCGAATTTCTGAACAGCTAAAACAATTCAGGGTTACACTGCCTGGAAGGTCTATATTATGCTGATGGTCAATTTTACCTACCCCTCCCCTAACCCAACACTACCTAACTTGTTTACACTTGAATGTTGTTGAACTCCCATAACATGTCACATCACATGACCGGACAAACTCTCCCCCCCCCCCCCCTGGTGCACTGGCCATGCAGGCCACAATGGGCCTCAAATCCTACTCACAACCATCATTAGACCAGTTTTGGAAAGATAATGATGATTTTGAGGAATGTAAACAGTAAATTTGCCTTTGGAATCTTTTGAAGAACATGTTTAATCTGTTTTATCGCGGTTATCAGGTTTTCGTACAGTATTCCGCCGTTGAAACACGCGCTGATCGAGATGACGAGTTTAACAAGAACAAAAAAATTGTGCTAAGGGGACCAGTGGTGGTTACTCGGAATCCATGTTTACATCCAGGAGATGTACGTCAGCTCGAGGCTGTTGACGTACCAGGCCTCTGTCATCTTGTGGACTGTGTCGTTTTCCCACGTCAAGGCTCGCGGCCACACCCTAACGAGATGGCAGGTAATATGAATCACTTTCTCTTCCAACCTGAAACACTTACACGCGCTTAAGTTTATATATATCTTGATTTATTTAGGTATATCGTGAAATGATCTAGTTTCCACTGAAGATAGCCTCCCCTACGAAGTAATGTGACTGAAATTTGCTCATTTATTTGCGATATTTAGACAGGCTGGTTCGGTTCAGCATCAAAGCTGGTTTAAATGGAGGTCTGTATAAACAGTAAGAAGGTCAGACTACAACGCTGGAGCTACGTTCTCTTTGCAAGAAGTGCGTGGGTTCGTTAATGTCCCTTTCTAATCAGCACTTTGAAGATGCAGGAGATAGGACCGAAGGTTTATGGTTCTTATCTGAGAGGAAAAGAATGTCTAATTATTTGCAGATGTCATGGGAAAGGCAGCAAATTCTCCTCAGTTGTTTTTTAGACCCTGAGTGTTGGTCCGGTCCGTGGCTTTAACCCACGACCTTACGCACGGCAGTCCAGCGCTCTACAACATGAGCTAACCAAGCGAGGTTTTTTTTTTCATAAGAATTCAAGCGAAATCTACGAAATTTAGTCATAAACAGATCAGATTGTGAATATTTGAACGAACTTCTAAATGCCCATTCTTATTTCAGGCGGTGATTTGGACGGCGATCTATACTTCGTCTGTTGGAATAAAGACCTGTTACCAAGGAAACCAAATTACCCGCCAATGGACTATCCGTCACTTCGTAAACTGGAGAAGACTGAGCCAATCACTACTCGCGACATGACAAAGTTTGTGGTGGATTACATCCGGTCTGACCAGTTAGGCGTTATTGATAATGCGCACAAGGCGGTGGCGGACATTGAAGAGGACGGCGTGCAACATAAGGAATGTCTTTATCTCGCAGAACTGCACTCTTTGGCGGTTGATGCACCCAAAACGGGAAAATGGCCGAGTACTAAGGGTATTAGGAGGATAGAAAAGCGTCCTGATTTCATGATGAAGAGCGATAAACCAAGTTATCCCTCTGAAAAGGTTATAGGAAAGCTCTTTCGGCGCTGTCGGAAGTTTAAAGATGCTACGTCTGAAAAATACGATCAAAACCTTCGTTTGGACAAGTCTCTCTTGTTGCCAGGTAACGACAGTTTCGTTGAAAACGCCAAAGAAGTCTATAATTGGTATCGTGACAAGATGGAGGGCTTGATGCGGCTGTACGGCATCGAAACTGAGGCAGAAATCATCACTGGCTGTTTCATGAAGCTTCGGAATCGCTTGCGCAAAGAAAAAACGGAAATTGCCGAACTCGTCGGCGAAGAACTGTTCGCAATACGCTCGTACCTCCGTCGTGAATTCTTTTATGAATTCGGGAGCGATGGACAGTGGTTAAAAAGCGATGTGCTGATTTCGGATGAGATGCGTTTAAAAGCCTCGGCTTGGTACAGAGTGGCCTACACGTTTGCACATGATCACGGTAATGGTTCAAACCCAAGCAACGAAAAGAGGCTACTCGGTTTTCCTTGGTTTATTAATGACATCATGCTCGCCATCAAAACGCGAAAAGATCGACCCAGTCAGCCCCAGGCCTTAGACGTTAGCGCAACCGTAGGTCAGAGTCTTGTAAGGTTGTTTCACGAAGAGAAGGACTGGTTACTTGAGGAGTTCAGAGCTCGAATAAGAGCAAAGAACGTTATATGTCGTCATCTGCAGGCCGCTGAATCCACTTCTTCAATGAGTATCGTCGGCTCTACTGCTACGCTACTATTTCACAAGACTTCAGATCTTGATCTGTTCTTTTTACCTCAGGATACACAGGCACGAAGCCATCATGCCCTCCCTGAGGTACCACCAGAAGAAAGTAACACTTTAGTTGAGGAAGGAGCGAAAGTATTGAAGTCGTTGATTCCTTTCTTGAAGGAGGAGACGTCAGAGCAACAAGAAGAAGAAGACGAAAACGTTAAAAATCTCTTTTGGAAAGTTCGTCTCGTCAACAAAAAGTCTTTCCCTGTAAGTATCACATTGCTTTTAGTTTCACCATATCCAAGGGTGTATATCTTTACTACGACTTGTGGTAAATATGATGTAGGCGACTTAACTTATGCTGTAGCGTTAGTATATGTTGTTCACATGTGACTTCGTAAACAACGACACTGTTGAATTAGTGTTACGATAGCTTTACCGACGAAACACAGCTCCAACCATCAATTGTTGGACGATTGTACGCTAACCACGCTTTAAGAAGAGTCTTCATTCGCGAAAAATTGATTAAAAAGGGAAAATGATAACAATTAAGAAAAGATCTATTTTCCACATTCTTCTCTTGTCTAATTAGGGTCTTTAGCACACTCTTCAAATCCTGACACCGCGCTTTCCTTCGCATCATTTAAATTGGATTTTATTTTCACCCAGGTCCTCTCATGCAAGCAGCCAACAGTGAACCTGATAAATGGCAGTAATTGCTCTCCAACCCTTAATTGCGATCTGAGTTCATCCTTAGACTGTCTAAGAATGGCCGCTTTGCTGTCAAGCTACATCAAGTCGTATCCTGATCTCTTATTAGTGCTCCGTGCTATACACCGATGGTGTTGCGTGACAAGGTTGTCACGCAACGCAGCTGGCGCTGGAAACACTTCAAACTTGCTCTCTGCCCTTCTCTTAGCCCAATGCATACACAACATGCAGATTAAAAACTTTAATGAGGAGCACGTTTTAGAAACGATGGCACACCAAATGCACGGTGGCGCAAGGGATGGTAAGCAGTACATGGAGTTGGAAAATGTCATAGGATATCTGGAAGCTTACCAGAACGATTCCCATTTCCCTCAGGTAGAGCCCGACATTACCCAAGTTGGCCAGCTTCTGGTGACCTTTTTTCAATCACACGACTCGTGTTTTGAAAGAGAGCTCCCGCAATCGCTCGCACGTCTTTTCGGTGCACGAAAGCTCTCAAAGCTTCTGGGAAAAGAGCATTTAGTCCTTGTGAAAGAACAAATGCAACGCGCCTATCAGCTCCTGGCGTTATTTGGAGACGCACAGATCATGTTAACCATAAGTGGCTCCGAAGATTACAACGTAATATTTCTTTCGCCACTTCTTACCTCGTTCATAGCGGGCGTTGAGAAAAGTAAAGCTCAAGAAATAGCGCGGAAGACCGGAGCGAGGAGCGTCATCATTCGCCCCAATTTTCCACGGTCGTGTTCCTCAGCTGTACTTGAGGTGAAAGGAAGTGAGCCTGCGATACGAGCAGTGGAGAGGGAGCTGGAAGAGATGAGCACAATAGCATCACGCGACAGGATCTCTCTCATGAGTGGCTGTTTTGTAGAAGATGCAAGTCTGCTTTTGTTTGAAGGAAGTCGAAGTCAAAATGATCACGTTTCTCTGTCACCATACGATGGGCGTTGTCATCAGACACACGACCGATTGGCCCGGCATGTCGCTTTGCTAGAAAATGTCACGAACGATGAAATCTACGCATACCACCGTTTTACAGAAAAATTCTTTCAACAACTGCGATTACTTGAGAGAGATTTCGATCCTCAGGTGCATGGCTGTCGTGAATTCGCTGTTCACTTTGGACGAATCTACATGTTCAGTGTTCCGCATTTCTTGCTCGAAGATAGCGAGTCCATCACTATTGCAATGCTGAGAACGAATAAACGGAAGCCAAGTGCCTTAAACAGAAGGAACAGCCACAGTCAGGGAGAGTCAACTCCAGAAAGAGTCACTTTCGTTGATCAAGAACAAGAACGCGCTCGGAGAAGGAAGAGGCGGGCAAAACGTAATGTGACATTTAGCGAAACCAAGAAGAAGCGGAAACGCGGAAATCCTTCGAGGAGCTCCCTGTTCACGGTTGTTCACTCGCCAGACAGAGTGGAGATTTTTCTTCACGAGACTGAATTCCGGCAAGATGGAAATCCCACTGAAAACTTCTCAGTGGACATTTTGGATGGAGGGGTAGAATTTTACGTCAGGTTCGACGAGAGACTCAACTTTGTTGAAGTAAAGCTTCCAAACCTACGCTGGTTTATGGTGGACGTCAAAAGACCTTACCAACGCCGACCAGATCATGGCGTCGCACAAGATGGCGAACAGGCAGATGAAAACTTCGTTTTAGACGGCTGGGAGACAGACGTTCGTTTCTTGTTGCAATCCCGTTATGCTTTGGCGCTGAGTGACATCCGGGATACCAAGTACGCTAAGTACCAGTGTATACTCGAACCCAGTACGGGTGAGCAGCCATTTACTGTTCAGGAAGAGTTATGGAAAGATGTGCGACTAATTCGCCACTACAAGTCTAAAAAGTTCACATGCGCTTCACGTCAAGGTGGGTTCCTCTATGGCCTGACAGCATACCTCAACGAGGTGACAGAATATTCCAGACCATTAGGGCCGGAGAAAGTCGGTGAATTCAGAGAAAAACACACTCGTTGGGAGGTGTCATTGGAGGCAAAGCTTCCAGAAGATTTAGCAGCCAAGGAAACTGTTAAAACGTTCTTAGAGGAAGTATGGAAGTTCGCATTTGCTTTATCCTCATTCGTATCGAAGGAAAATGAGGTTAATGTCCGGCAATTAAGAGGCCTCCACCTAGTGAAAAATTTTTATGAGGAATGTTAGAATCGCTGAAATCTTTTTCACGTCAGAGAATATCACGATCACTTGATCCCAGCTCCAGTTGCTTAGATAAATGGCATACAACAAATCATTTTTTTAAAATTTCGATAGTCAATTGTTACATTTCTCGAAACTCGGTCGAAACGCGCTCTAAGTACGATTCTATAAGGATATAAGAGATTATAAACTGTGCTCAACTGTATAAAAATTAGTAGGCATGAAAGTGAACTCGCTCACCATCCCGAAATGAATCTTTTGTCTGGTCTGTGAATCAGTTATTATTATTAACTGAATGTCGCGCTCGTTTTCTCAAGAGTGTAATTTTGAGCTTCTTTACGAGAGAATTCCTTACAAGGGAGATTCTTTTAACATCGTGTTTTTAACGACATTTAAAAGACATTTCATCAGAATCTTTCAGTTCAATAGCTAAGGTAAAAGTACTGATTTAGATAAATGTTTCCAAACAGCCCTCTGAGTTTTGCTTAATTTTGCCCAATCCAGCAGAAATAAACATGAGGCTGCTGAAAACAACCTATGCGTAAGCTAAAGGCGGCCATTTTCTAACGCTATAAAGTGAAATTCATGCGAGTGAGGACGAAAATAATGTTTTATGACAATTTTTGGCTGCTGGGTACAGTTTTTATTGTGTCATGCTCGTTTGAGGCATGTAGCTAACTCAATAAAGGAGCTTAACCTCGCGGTACATCTAGTACTCGATGCATTCTGTTTCTAGGCCGAAGTATTCTCGTAAACGAATTCACCAAGAGCACTGATAACTCGCGAAATCTCAGTCCTTCGCAGTCACTCTTTGGGAGGTCACGCGATGCTTTCCCCGGCCAAGAGATGGTGCAATCTACCACCCGTCCTTTATCTTATGTTATAAAACTAAGATACTACGAGCGCCTGATTGGTCAAAAAAACCATCGCTTATTGCACCGGTAAACCTATAGAAAATTGAAATTTATGTAAGGTCATTTTATCTCATACTTGGGTTGTGGGGAGAACTCTTGAAAATTTTGTAAGTTACTCGTCTCCAGCATCCTGTCTGGGTTATGCTGGGAATCCAGAAAGTGCGGTCTATCTGAGGAACAGGACGTAAAAAATCAAATGAAAAAAAGAAAAAAATCAAATTAATGTTGAGGTTCACATTTTTCTCAGGTTACCTAAGAACTTCGAATAACCTTTCACTAAAGAAAATCTTGCTCTTCAATTTTCAACTTTTACACTCGTGGTTATTGAATTTTGATGCGCCATCCGGCTGGTAATGCAATTAAGAGTCTGTCCACGAGAGGACCGGGCAGGCGTGACACATGCTATTTCATCGATTTCTTTCAAACTTTCACAGTTTGTGAGGGTCACTAAGTTATTAATTAATCCAAAGTAGTTCGGGCTCCCGGTTAATCCTGGCGTTATTAGAGCCCCACATCAAATCGCTAAGGTAAAAGGCTAAAATTAGCTCGAAAAATGCACTTCCAACGAATCTCTCTCATACAAACAGAATACGATGGATTTTGATCTTATTAAATCCAATGGGTGTTTTAACCTTAAGGAAATAATTCCTTAATTTGGGGAAAATTTAATATAACTTCTGTCAATTTAGAGCAGTCAATCATTAACTGTGTCACGTAACTATTTCAAAGAAAGGAAAAAAATTGGGTTTTTTAATTGAAATTTAATTGCATGCCGACCTCTTTTGCCACTCAATGTAGGAAGACAGTATTTGCTACAAAAATAAATATATCTATGATCAATTAAGATTTCTACTTCACACAAAGCTTCTTTTCCGTATGTTTGTGAGAGGCAATTAATTAAGAAATTAAATGCTCTGTATCTCTTAGTTTAGCACCTGTTCTGATCTATGTGGTCTGTAGAAATGAATCCCACCTTGGAAAAGTTCCTCTATATTTCCATCAGTCCTGTAAGCTTTGAATTGGGAACATAACCTGAATAGAACAACGTTTTGTCTCAAACTTCCATGCAATTTTGAAGAAAAATTGAACCTAGTTTTTGTCGAACACATTTAAGAAAGTAATCGAAAAAGTGGAAATTATAAAATCAGTGGATAATTAAGTAAATTTGGAGTTATCAATAAATGTGAAAAATATTATTTACAAAATCATGATAACTTCAACAGTAGTCACCCGTCTGAGTTGTTATGGCATTCTAATGTTATACATAATGAAATCACAGATTTTGAACATTTACCCATTTACCCGTATTGATAAGACAGGAGGTTGAATTTGAGGAAAATTTTTATTCAGCCCGTCTAAAAAGAATTGTGAAAGATGAATTGTTGTGTGAGTCATGGAATTTATTGAACGCCATGTATATGAGAACGGGTGATTGAGAGATTACGTGTTGCGTCACGCAATCACGCGCACAACCACCTCCGTGACGATAATTTGCATAATTTATCTTTCCGAGAAACAAAATAAGCTTTCGAATTCCCGGAAGCAAAAATAAGGTTCACAGCAAGTGATTTCTGTTGTTGAAACTGCAAATGTCGGCAACTTTGCACCTTGTTTAGCAAGTAAATTGTAACATGAAGATGGATTTGCGATCAAAGTAGTTCCTTTACATCTTGAAAAGAAAGTTTTACCTAAGGTAAGTCATCTTATCGTGTGAAATATTATTGGTATCGAAACATGGACGCCATTATCACAGAAAGTAAATATGTTCGCTAAGATTTTGTTCAGTACGAGTTTGGTGAACATAAAAAGTATTAAGCCGAAGGTTAAAGTATTTCACTAGGCAATAAGTGCAATTTTCGATTAGCCGATGTACTGCAGTTAGTTGTAATAATTTTAAATCACCAGCTCTAAATGCAAAGTGACAATGTTTTGATGGAAGAAATTTTTTAAAGTTGCATTCTAACACTAACTATGGTAGTTGATCATGAAATACCGCGTAGAGATGAAAAGAAGACATATAGCAGTTTTATTTTTGGATCGGAGGAAAACTTCCCACTCGAAATCTTCATGATGGTTTTCATGAAAATGCGCCTCAACTCAACGATCTCATATGACGTTATATTTATTTTGAGATCAAAATTGTAATTCAGAACGATACGGACAATTTTTCTCAGTGTAGTAAATAAAGATTAATCGCTCACATCTATCGAATATATCGCAATTAGGTTCAATACTGAAGCTGGTTTCGTTCGTTGCTCAATCATGATACGAAATTTGGTCTGACGCCACCGTGGAGCTTCGTCAGTACCAGTCTCTTTCAAAAAGGATTTTTTTCTTTTCTTGACAGAATGTTACTCTTTCTTTCTTCTTATTTCCTCTTTTTTTTTCTTTTTATTACCAAGGAATTTCTTTCGCTATTGATTTTTCCATGAGCAAAGATTTTTCCCTGAGCAAAGAGCTTCCACGTGTGAATTTTGTCAAGTGTACGATGCAAACAAAATATTAGGAAAAGCGGTTGCCGCGAAAATTCCGCCAAGGGATTTGCCCAGGTCCGAGATTATGACACTTTCCTGATTTAATAACTTTTATTTGAAAATACGTTTTTCTAAATAACACGGGTGCTTTAAAAGATTTTATAAATTTTTTTATGGAAATGTTAGGTTGAATGTTTGAATTCAGCTTAGAAAAATTGATTTTTTCGGACTCTTCTAAAGAATTTTAACACATAAAATTTTGTTGTGGTAGGAGAGTCTTGCACCCGATGATTTCCCCAAGGGATGCCAATGTACCTTAAAATTGCAAAATCTTCATTAACAAATACCTCAAGTTGCCTACAGTTGTTGAATCGTGTCAAATGCTTATTCACAACAATCGTGTAAAATGAAATAACTGCAGAAAAAGCGAATACCTGAGACCCAGGACACCTGAATGCCCTAAGTCCTCGGCCAGGCCTGCAAAATGGTGGCAGGAAATAATAAACGTACGATTATAAACTACACAGAGAATTTATTCTAAAAGGTAAATAAAAACCCTTCATATGGTTATGTAATAAAGTTAAATCAAGCAAGATGTTGTTACAGCATAGAGAATGAGGGCAAAAAAATGGGGGCAGTTGCATCGCCGGGAGTACATGAAATCGTTAGTGAACGTGAGCTATTTATGACTGTCACTGCCCTCATATTAAGAGATGCATTGAACTTAACCTCAAGCGCTAGATTATCTTTGATATTTTCTGTTTTCCTCTACAGTTTGCGGAAGGCAGTGGGGGGGTGATGGGAGTTCCCCAAAGGTAATATTTCTATTTCTTGGCAGGTCTTTCATGGCTTACTCAGCACAGGGATGGTCCCTCATGAATCAAGAGGACGAAGTTACACTTTGGTGCAAAAACTGCGACACAAAACTGGCCACGAAGGAAACTGTGATGCTGGCTAAGGTACCCCCTTCCAGTACCCACTTGGCCCTCCGCGAGGGGAAGGAGGAACAAGTAGAAGCAAAACTTCATAAGGTCGAAAAGGGCGGGAAAAGCACATGGTACTGCCCTTACATTTTTCGTTGCCGAGAGTGTGACAAACATGTTGCAAACTTAACAAAGGTAGCAGGGAAACTGCTAATTTGTTTTAAAATAGAAAATATAGATATTTTTCATAATGGAAAAAAGATAACGGCAAATAAACTGTCAGAAGTGCGCAAGGAGTTGGAAGAAGAGTGTGGAATTGAAGTTGTTAACGTTACGAAGCATGCGCAAGAGACAGGAAGAATACACCAGTGCCGTGGGGATAGCAAATCCATGGTTTATTGTGATACAAGTGGGTTGACTCATACATCGCACGAAATCGATTCCTTAACGCGTCTAGTCCCGCGAGTTTATCAGCGGGAGTTGTTCCTTTCTGCGATGCGCGGTAATACGCTGGTATGTCTTCCCACGGGCTCAGGAAAGACCCTGATTGCAGCCATGGTGATGAGTTGCATGAAGAAGTTGAATCCAAGCAAAATTATGGTATTCCTTGTCGACCGAGTACCGTTAGCGTACCAACAAAGTGAGAAGATCAAGTCACAGTTGACAGGTTTGACGGTTGAAACGTTGGTCGGTGAAATGGAGTCACCTCAAAATGGGGGTATTCATAAAAGATTAGCTGATAACAAGGTTGATGTGTTAATCTTAACACACCAGATTTTTCTAAATTTTTTAGCCGCGGAGGACAACCCGCCTATTCGGCTGTCCGATGTTTCTGTCCTGGTTTTGGATGAGGCTCACCACTGCAGCGGGCGCCACCCGTACAACCAGATTATGGAGTACTACAAAACGATACCAAACCGGTTTAAACCTATTGTGCTCGGTCTGTCAGCCTCGCCGGCCGGAGAGCTTGAATTCGAAAGAACCAGTGAGAAGCTAAAAAAGCTCCTTGAGAACTTGGATTGTAAAATCGCGATGCCTATTGAGTCGGATTTGTTGTTTCATGTGACTATCCCAAACGTGGTTTATGAAACATGTGATTGCAAGAACACTGAACAAGTTATCCTCCAGCTATGTATTAAAGATCACATCGAACATCTGATAAAGAGCCATCTCAAAGATGTACTAGATCGTCAACGTTTTGAGTTTCCCGCCTTCTCATCGAATTTTAGAGGTGCGCTGAGAAAGCTTATTGATAGTTACCATAGTAACAAGAAATGCTTTAAAGCGCTGACCGTTGCTGAGCATGCAATGCACTTGCTCAGCGTTGTTGAGTTTTGCGAAGTTCTCGGTTACCAGTATGCCGTTGAAAGTCTCAAAGAATGTGTACACCGCATTGTTTACGCTAACTCGCCGAAAGATTGTGCTTTGAAGAAGCTAATTGGAAGTCAACCTACTTTTCAAGCACTCGTTTATTTGGCTGACCAAGCAGGCAGGGCTGACCACGCACGTGCATTCGTCATGTCGGACAGGTACAAAATTCTTGAGAAGCACATAAAGCAGTTCCTATGCCAAGCTCAGGAAGACCCAACTTCTAGAGGCATCATCTTTGTGAGCTTGCGCAAAACGACCTTCAAACTTTGCGAGCAGATCAGAAAGATCCCGGATGTGACCAAAACATTAAATCCTTACCCTTTTGTCGGCCACGGACAAGGAAGCTATGATGGAATGAGGTGGAAAGACGAACAAGAAAAGCTGTTGAAAGAGTTTAGAAAAGGAATATGCAAGCTTCTGATTTGCACGAGTGTTTTGGAGGAGGGACTGGACGTCCCCGAATGCAACCTGGTCGTTCGCTTTGAGGGTGCAGCAACACTTCGGGCGCTGGTTCAGACCCGCGGGCGCGCGTCCCGTAGACGTGACAGCAAGTTTGTCGTCATTTGCAATGAAAAACAAGAAAGAGATGCCAGAGATCTGTGTCTCAAGGAACAGAACATGGAAGAAGCTATCAGATGTATGATGGATGACCTGAGGGGGCAATCACAAGCAGATGAATTTGGATGCGAAGTAAGAAAACCAAAGCTCTTCCTCCCCGCCACAGAGGATAATGGTGTGAATACTTCTCCAGTCATGCGCCACAGCCCTCGTATATCTGTCATGGTGCACAATATGGTTGGTCAAGAATCTCGCGTGATAGATTTTCTGAATGACACCTTTGACGTGATATCTTCAAAGCCAATCCAGTCCACTTCATCGCTCGTTGATGCACCTAAAAAGAAAACTACACTACAAGATATGGCGTTTGAACTCGAACCAAGCTATAATAAAGAAGCCAAGGAGTTTCGCTCAAAGGAAGAGTTTGCATGTCACGTGACAGAAGCGTGGTGCACGTGCCTCACCGACCGTGACGAGGAACCACTTCCGGTTTGGCTTCAGGCCCCGCCATTAGAAAAACGCCGCAGATCTAACGAGCCATTTCATTGGTTGAAAGCAAATTCCTTGTGCTTGGGTACTTTTGTGAGTCGATGCCATTTTCAGTGTGAGTGGCCTCTGCAGACCACACTAAAGGACATTAAGATTCATTTTGATCACAGCTTTAAAATGCTGACCTTGCACTCCTCCAGGCAATCTTCCATCGTTCCTGGTCAAGGTGCTGTTGCTAGAGGTCCATACAAGATAGAATTTCGCTACGACGAGATTGAAGATTTCATAATCGTGGATTGTGATAGTAATGCAGGAATGATTAAAATTTTTCTGACGGCGAGACACCCTCCACGGCTGTATCGCCAACTGGAGGACGAACAAAATTTTTTCCACCTCGCTCTAATAGATGAACAAGACAATGAAGATAATTCAGTCGTCTCGTCAAGTGAAGATGACTCGGAAACCGAAGGCCTCTCGACCGACGAAGAATATCCGGATGTAATAACCGCCGATTTTCACGACGCCTCCCCAGATCTCTCACGTAATCTCACAGATAATAGAAGCTGGGAAAGGGCGTCAGATTTCCACAATGGTGAAAATGCTGTAAGCCAGTGCTTTACCTATTGTGTTACAATACCATTTAATGAACTTGTCCAGTTGAGGCGCTTGTTGACCACAGTCGAGAAAAGATTCCACAAAAGTGCGCTTTACTGCCGAGTGAAGGAGAGCTATGGGAAATTACCAGATATAGACATTCCCGATAGTTTGCCATTTGGGGTCAAGTATGCCGCTGGAAGTGTCCTCAGTTTTTTTCCTTTGGTTCGCGGAAGAGTGCCATCTGGAAAATTTGGTAGACTTTTGTTAGGAAAGTCTTCCGATATAGCTATTGCTGCTTTGGAAAAATTGAGTAAAGTGTTGGAAAAAGACAAGTTCTGTGACCCAGGCAGCATTCTGGAGTCGTTACTGAAACAAAACAACCCATCGACCTCCGGGATGTTTAATAGGTTGGTTTCAGGCCATTGCGCTTTGATAAAGCGCGCGGTCGTCACCCCAACTAGGCTGCTGTTCTACCCTCCGGAAGTCATGGCGAAGAATCGCGTGCTTAGAAATTATGATACAAACGACTTCCTCTGTGTCAGTATTCGTGACGAAGACCTGTCAAAAATGTCTGCAGCAAGAGGGAACATCGACGATCTATTAGACGGAATGAAACTCAAACTAGATGAAGGACTTGAGATAGCTGGTCAGAGGTTTCAGTTCTTGGGTTCCTCGAACAGTCAGCTTCGTAACCATAGCTGTTGGTTTGTAGGGCCCAGATATCTACCGGACGACATTCGTCGCTGGATGGGAAAATTCACCAATATCAAGTGAGTGAGCACTATTCCTTTATTCAATTTTAAAACAAGTTAACGTTTTCAGTCAAAATAAAAAAAAAAAATTCTCCCGTAAAGCGATATAATTCCTTCAAACAGCCTAACTATTGATTAGAGGTGAACAGGAACGCAAAGCATTTGAAAAGAGTAAGAGATTAACAAATGTTGGCTACTTATTCACTTTGTTACGGGGAAGTGATCAGAGTCTAGAAGTGATGTTGTCACACATTCACCTTTGAGATTCACCTTTATTAAATGGTTATATGCACTTTATTTAGGAAAACTGCAAATTACTAGGTATGATGGGAGCAAAGTATTCTGGGACTGTTTTGTTTCACATCACTCGGTGATTGGTCAAGTAAAACTGTTCAACCCTTTCCGCCATTGAGGTGCAAAACTCAAATTGGTCGTGACTCTGCTATTCGCATCTTTCCCCGTTTCACGCAGTTTACTCGTTCATTTATTTTCTATTTCCCTTTAGCCTCATGTGATATTTTCCTCTGTTCTAATTGGCCATATGAACATTAACATTTTTTATATTGGCTTTCCAATAGGTGTGTTGCCTCATACATGGCTCGTATGGGCCAGTGCTTTTCCACCTCCTTAGACGCTGTGGGGTTTGCGACCAGTGAGGATACCTATTATGACGTAGAAGATGACGTTGAAACAGCTGACCGAGAATACTGCTTCTCTGACGGAGTCGGAAAGATATCCGAAGAGTTGGCCGCAGAGGTATAGCAAATATTTGTTTAACTTGGGAAAAAGGGGAGATTTTCTCTCCTGAATACCTGAATACCTGAATACGAGCCCGCCTAAACACAAAGCAGTACTGTGGTGTAAGCCACTTCACGTGAGGTGCATTGGAATTACCATTTGCGACTTCTCCCTCTTTGAATAATCCTTTTTACGTTCTCATTTTAGGCGTCTACGTGTATTTAATTTCAGTTCTTATCTCCTCCTTGTACTAATTTTAGGTTTATGACAGTCATTCCTTCGAAAAGCGCTGTAATACACTGTACGTGTTTTAGAAATTTAAAGAGCTTCTAATATGTTACGAAATCTTCATTTGGCAATAGGAGCTTTCAGCCTCTATGCCTAAAGAAACACATTCTATTTCAGGTTGTCCGAAAAATTGGTAAACCATTCAAACCATCCGCATTTCAAGTTCGTTTCGCCGGCTACAAAGGTGTCCTTACGCTAGATCCCAGACTTCCAGGGAAACAGGCCATCTTTCGTAGAAGCATGTTCAAGTTTGATAGCTTTCACCGCAGACTGGAAGTATTGCAAACGTCTCGTCCTCAGGTCGTTTTCCTCAATCATCAGGTCATCATGCTTCTATCTAACCAAGGAGTCCCGGATGAAGTCTTTATCAAATTGCAAAACGACATGCTGGACAAACTGTCAGGTGAGAGGATGAAGTCAAGAAATTCGAATCAGAAAACTTCCGACCCAGATAGGATGATCACTTCATCTTGTTTCGACTCATTACATGGAAACATGGTAAAAGGTTGCCTTTAGAGTTTGAGAACGTTTTAGCTGATAAAATATGGAGACGTGCGACGTTTACACCTTTTTTAACGTTTTGTTTTGTCTCTGTACTGGCTTAAACCACCTCATAACCATGCATTTAAATACATGCTACTGGGCAGTACATGTGATAGTTATGCTGTATAGATGTTCGCTAATTTTGTCACTCAGATGGAAGCTTTTTAAACTCTGCATTTTCATTCCGTGAAAATTGTTTATATTATAACAAAACCGTTCCACTCAACCGCTGTTGCCGACTAAGTTAGTATTGGCAAACAATAGAGTTAGCGTCCAGGTATTATAATATCTCATATTACGCCTGTCTTTTGTTCAAAGGGATGCTTGTGAATGAACGTGATGCTATTCAGCTATTGGGAAGTGGAGCCAAAATGGGCGTGTCCTATCACAATATTTCTAATGCAGGGATACCACTGACAACGGAACCATTCTTTAAATCGCTGCTGGTCGCCATGTACCGAAATCATATGCACGAACTACTTGCTCGAGCCCGCATTCGTTTGCCACCAGCGGAAGCACGCTTGATGATGGGTGTAATGGACGAGTTAGGTGTATTGAAACCTGGTCAAGTGAGTCTTTTTGATTATTTTTTTTTAAGTTTTACTTTTCTCTATTTCTAACTCTGAGCCTGGTATGGAGGATTCTGCCCCAATATAATCCAACGATAACAGCTGTTTTTAACGAATGGCTCTGAAAACTGGTTTTCAAAATGGGTACAAATTTAACCCCTTTGCGGCAGATTTACACAATGAAAAAATCATATTTTACGATCGAACTTCTCGCGAATATTTCGACCAATTTCTGAACAGCTAAAATACTTCGGGGCTACACTGTCTGGAAGGTCAATATTATGCTGATGTGAATATGAAAGCGATCTTCGCAATTATGAACACTACTTAAGCAGTAGTGAAAAGAAGGCCTGAAAAAAGTTCAGGCCTGTACGGGATTTGAACCCATGACCTCTGCGATACCGGTGCAGTGCTCTTCTTCACCTCTACTCTTTTCACTACTGCTTAAGAAGTGTTCATAACTGCGAGGATCGCTTTCATATTCACGTCTTTATCCGCAGTTCAAATATATGACTTTTATTTATTCACAACCGTCTATTATGCTGATGGTCAATGTCAGTACCTGAGCAGCTGTTTACACACTCCTCCCCAAACCCAACACTATCTAACTTGTTTACACTTGAATATTGTTGGACTCCCATAACATTTCACCATTACAGAATTACTTAATGTCCTGCCAAAGAGCATCAGATGGCCGGACATACTCTCCGTTCTCCCCACCTCCCCCTCCCCCGTGCGCTAGCAAGCAGGCCACAATAGGCCTCATATCCCGCTCGCAACCACTATCAGACCACTTTTGGAAAAATAATGTAGATTTTGAGAAAGATAAAGAGGAAGTTTGCCTTTGGAGTCCTTTGAATAACCTGTTCATCCTGTTTTATCGCGTTCGCCAGGTTTTCGTACAGTACTCTGCGGTTGAAACACGTGGGGATCGAGATGACGAGTTTGACAAGAGGGGAAAAAATTGTGCTCAGGGGACCAGTGGTGGTTACTCGGAATCCATGTTTACATCCGGGAGATGTACGCCAGCTCGAGGCTGTCGACGTACCAGGCCTCTGTCATCTTGTGGACTGTGTCGTTTTCCCACGTCAAGGCTGGAGGCCACACCCTAACGAGATGGCAGGTAACATGCCTGTTGAGATTCTGTACTGTGGAGATGCAGGAGACAGGGCCGACGGTTTAAGGTCCTTATCTGAGTAGACTAGTGTTACGGTATACTCTAACCGACAGAAAAACAATACAATCCTACAAACTCAACTACTTTATCAAACAACGAGTGATATTCTCAATAAGGAGCGACTCGTAAAGAAAGTACAGTAAAACTTACTTGAGCCCACTACAGTCTATATCTTAGCTCACCACCGAGTCAAACTCACAGTTTCCTCCAATGTTTCTTGAAATTAGCAATCTTCCACCGTAGCTCTCTCTCACGATGTAGCTTTCTAAACAATCGGTCACTCCCAACAACAACAATAACAATAACTACTACTTCATAACTGAGTCCTTATGTACAATTACAAAGTGTTCTGGAACTTTCCAGAAACTTACAAAAGAACTATTTTAGTAGTATTAAGTAAAAGCTGCGTGACTTGATGAAATGTTCTAGAAAGTTCTATGGTACGCATGTCAGCATGACTAAGCCGTCTGGGGATTTCTAGAAGTTTATGTTTACAACAACAATTACTCACAGCACTAGAGTGTCTAACCATTTACAGATGTCATAGCAAAGGTAGCACTTTCTCCTCAGTTGTTTTTAAGACACTAAGAATCCAAGCGAAATCTACGAAATTTAGTCATAACAGGATCAGATTGTGAATATTGAAATCAGTTTCTGGAAAAACTATTTCTGATTTCAGGCGGCGATTTGGACGGCGATCTATATTTCGTATGTTGGCATAAAGACCTGTTACCAAGGAAAGCAAATTATCCGCCAATGGACTATCCGTCACTTCCTAAACTGGAGCAGACTGAGCCAATTACTACTCGCGACATGACCAAGTTTGTGGTGGATTACATCCGGTCGGATCAGTTAGGCGTTATTGACAATGCGCACAAGGCGTTGGCGGACTTTGAGGAAGACGGTGTGCAATCTCGGGGATGTCTTTATCTTGCAGAACTACACTCTCTAGCTGTTGACGCACCCAAAACGGGGAAGTGGCCGAGTACTCAGGGTATTGAGGTTAAAAGGCTTCCTGATTTCATGATGAAGAGCGATAAACGAAGTTATCCCTCTGAAAAGGTTATAGGAAAGCTCTTCCAGCGCTGTCGGAAGTTTAAAGATGCTACGTCTGAGAAATACGATCAAAAACTTCGTTTGGACAAGTCGTTCCTGTTGCCAGGTAACGACAGTTTCGTTGAAAACGCCAAAGAAGTCTATTATTGGTATCGTGACAAGATGGAAAGTTTGATGCGGCTGTACGGCATCGAAACCGAGGCAGAAATCATCACTGGCTGTTTCATGAAGCTTCGAAATCGCTTGCGCAAAGAAAAAACGGAAATTTCCGAGCTCGTCGGCGAAGAACTGTTCGCAATACGCTCGTACCTCCGTCGGGAATTCTTTCGTGAATTCGGCAGCGATGGACATTGGTTAAAAGGTGAAGTGCTGATTTCTGATGAGATGCGTTTAAAGGCCTCGGCTTGGTACAGAGTGGCCTACACGCTTGCGGATGATCATGCAAATGATTCAGACCCAAGCCACGAGAAGAAGCTATTCGGTTTTCCTTGGTTTATCAATGACGTCATGCTCGCCATCAAAACACGAAAAGATCGACCCAGTCAGCCTCAGGCCTTAGACGTTAGCGCAACCGTGGGTCAGAGCCTCGTAAGGTTGTTTAACGAAGAGAAAGACTGGTTACTTGAGGAATTCAAAGCTCGAATAAGTATAAAGGACGTTATATGTGGCTATCTGCAGGCCGCTGAATCCACTTCCTCAATGAGTATCGTCGGCTCTACTGCCACGCTACTATTTAACAAGACTTCAGATCTTGATCTGTCCTTTTTACCTCAGGATACACAGGCACGAAGCCATCGTGCCCTCCCTGAGGTACCACCAGAAGAAAGTAACACTTCAGTTGAGGAACAAGCGAAAGTATTGGAGTCCCTGGTTCCTTTCTTGAAGGAGGAGACGTCAAAGCAACAAGAAAAAAAAGACGAAAACGTTAAAAATCTCTTCTGGAAAGTTCGTCTCGTCAACGAAAAGTATTTCCCGGTAAGCATCACAGTGGTTTTAGTTATATCATGTCTAGGGGTGTTTATCTTTACCATGAATTGTGGTAAATATGATGTAGGCGACTTAACTTATGCTGTAGCTTTAGCATATATTCTTCACATATGACTTGGTAAACAATGACACTGTTGAATCAAGGTTATGATAGCTTTACCGACGAAACACAGCTCCAACCATCAAGTGTTGGACGATTGTACGCTAACCATGCTTTGAGAAGAGTTTTCATCCACGAAAAATTAATTAAAAAGGGAAAATGATAACATTTAAAAAAAGATCTATTTTCCACATTCTTCTCCAGTCTTCAGTTTTCAATCTTCAAATCCTGATACTGCGCTTTCCTCAACATTATTTAATTTAAATTTTTGTTTTTCATCCAGGTCCTCTCATGCAAGCGGCCAACAGTGAAGCTGATAGATAGCAGTAATTGTTCTCCAACCCTTAGCTGTGATTTTAGTTCATCCCCAGACTGTCTAACAATGGCTGCTCTGCTCTCAAGCTATATCAAGTCGTATCCCCATCTCTTATTGGTACTCCGTGCTATACACCGATGGTGCTGCGTGACAAGGTTGTCACGTAACGCAGCTGGCGCTGGAAACACTTCAAACTTGCTCTCTGCCGTTCTCTTAGCTCAATGTATACACAACATACATTTTAATGAGGATCACGTTCTGGAAACGATAGCGCACCCAATGCACGGTGGAACAAGAGATGATAAGCAGTCCATGGAGTTAGAAAATGTCATAAAATATCTGGAAGCTTACCAGAACGATTCCCAATTCCCTCAGGTAGAGCCCGACATCACCCGAATTGGCCAGCTTCTGATGACTTTTTTTCAAGCACACGACTCGTGTTTTGAAAAAGAGCTTCCGCAATCACTCGCACGTCTTTTCCGTGCGCGAAAGCTCTCAGAGCGTCTGGAGAAAGATCATTTAGTCCTTGTGAAAGAACAGATGCAACGTGCCTATCAGCTCCTAGCGTTATTTGGAGACGCACAGATCATGTTAACCATAAGTGGCTCCGAAGATTACAACGTAATTTTTCTTTCGCCGCTTCTTTCCTCGTTCATAGCGGGCGTTGAGAAAAGTAAAGCTCAAGAAATAGCGCGGAAGACCGGAGCGAAGAGCGTCATCATTCGCCCAAATTTTCCACGGTCGCGTTCCTCAGCGGTTCTTGAGGTGAAAGGAAGTGAGCCTGCAATACGAGCAGTGGAGAGGGAGCTGGAAGAGATGAGTACACTGGCATCACGTGACAGGATCTCTCTTATGAGTGGCTGTTTTGTAGAGGATGCAAGTCTGCTTTTGTTTGAAGGAAGTCGAAGTCAAAATGATCACGTTTCTCTGACACCATACGATGGGCGTTGTCATCAGACACACGACCAATTGGCCCAGCATCTCGCTTTGCTAGAAAACGTCACGAACGATGGAATCTACCCTTACCGCTGTTTTACAGAAAAATTCTTTCAACAACTGCGATTACTTGAGAGAGATTTCGATCCTCAGGTGCATGGCTGTCGTGAATTCGCTGTTCACTTTGGACGAATCTACATGTTCAGTGTTCCGCGTATCTTGCTCGAAGATAGCGAGTCCATCACTATTGCAATGCTGAGAACGAATAAACGGAAATCAAGTGTCCTAGTCAGAAGGAACAGCCACAGTCAGCAAGAGTTAGCCCCACTAAGTGTCACTTACGTTGACCAAGAAGAAGAACGCGCTCGGAGAAGGAACAGGCGGGCAAAATGTAATGTGACATTTAGCGAAACCAAGAAGAAGCGGAAACGCGGAAATCCTTCGAGAAGCTCCTTGTTCACGGTTGTTCACTCACCAGACAGAGTGGAGAATTTTCTTCATTATTCCGGATTCCGGCAAGATGGAAATCCCACTGAAAACTACTCAGTGGACATTTTGGATGGATCGGTAGAATTTTACGCCAGGTTCGATGAGGAACTCAACTTTGTTGATGTAAAGCTTCCAAACCTACGCTGGTTTATGGTGGACGTCAAAAGACCATATCAACACCGACCAGATCATGGAGTCGCAGAAGATGGCGAAAAGGCAGATTGCAACTTCGTCTTAGATGGCTGGGAGACAGACGTTCGTTTCTTGTTGCAATCCCGTTATGCTTTAGCGCCGAGTGACATCCGGGATACCAAGTACGCTAAGTACCAGCGTATACTCGAACCCAGTACAGTTAAGCAGCCATTCACTGTTCAGGAAGAGTTGTGGAAAGATGTGCGACTAATTCGCCACTACAAATCCAAAAGGTTCACATGCGCTTCACGTCAAGGTGGGTTCCTCTCTGGCCTGACAGCATACCTCAACGAGGTAACAGAATATTCCAGACCATTAGGGCCAGAGAAAGTCGGTGAATTCAGAGAAAAACACACTCGTTGGGAAGTGTCATTGGAGGCAAAGCTTCCAGAAGACTTAGCAGCCAAAGAAAATGTTAAAACGTTCTTAGAGGAAGTATGGAAGTTCGCATTTGCTTTATCCTCATTCGTATCGAAGGAAAATGACTGAAGTGTTAGATTGATGTCGTCCAAGTAAGAGGCCTCCACCTATTGAAAAATTCTTCATGAGGAATGTTAGAATCGCTGAAATCTTTTTCACGTCACAGAACATCACGATCACTTGATGCCAGCTGTCGTTGTTTAGATTAATTGTTACATTTCTCGAAACTCAATCGAAATGCGCTCTAAGTACGATTCTATAAGGGTAGAAGAGATTATAACCTGTGTACAACTGTATCAAATTTAGTAGGCATGAAAGTGACCTCGCTCACCATCCCGAAATGAATCTTTTGTCTGGTCAGTGAATCAGATATAATTATAAATGTCGTGCTCGTTTTCTTAAGAGTGTAATTTTGAGCTTTTTTACGAGAGAATTTCTAACAAGGAAGATTCTTTTAACATAGTGTTTTTAACGACATTTAAAAGACATTTCATTGGAATCTTTCGGTTCAGTAGCTATGGGAAAAGTACTGATTTAGATAAATCTTCCAAACAGCCCCCTTAGTTTTGCTTAATTTTGTCCAATCCGGCAGAAATAAACGCTAGGCTTCTGAAAAACAACCTATGCGCATGCTGAAGGCGCGGCCATTTTCTGATGCTATAAAATGATATTAATGTGAGTAAAGTAACTTTGTGTTTGATGAAAATAGTGGTTAATGACAATTTTTGACTGCTTGATATAATTTTTATTATGTCATGCTTGTTTGAAGCATATAGCCAACTAAATAAAGGGGCTAAACCTTTCGGAACATTTAGTACTTAATGCATTCTGTTTCTAGGCCGAAGTAATATTGTAAACAAATTTAACAACAAAGCGAATATCCTACGAATTCCCTTCGCAGTCACTCTATGAGAGGTCACACGATTCCCTGGCCAATAGATGGTGCATTTTACCACCCGTCCTTTATCTTATGTTATAAAATAGCTATTAAGATACCACGAGCGTCCTGATTGATTAAAGAAACTATCGCTTATTGCACCGGTATTATTAAACCTATAGAAGATTGAAATCTATCTAAGTTCACTTTATCTTATACTTGCATGGATTGTTGGGAGAACACTTGAAGAGTTTGTAAATTACTCATCTCCGGCTTGTGATTTCCAACATTTTTTCGTTTTCTCCTAGCATCCTACTCGAGTTATGCTGGGAAACTGATAGAACGTGCAGTCTATTGCAGGATCGGGACGTAAAGAACTCAAATAAAAGTTGAGGTTCACTTTTTTCAGGTTACCTCAGAACCACGAATAACCTTTCAATTTTTCACTCATGGATTTTGAAATAACATTATTTCTTCTCACTGAGACTAGTAAATTTTGATGCACGATCTGGCCGGTAATGCAATTAATGATAACTAGCCCGGGTGTGTAGGAGTTGCAGTCCTTTCTCTTCATTTTCAGTTCTCTTTACGTTACCCCTCATGAAAAATTTAAAGTGCGTCATCCTCATGTTTGCTGTGCATTTTTATAATTCTTCGTCCCTTCTATAGGAGACTAGCAATATTTTTTCTTTATTTTGAGTTTTATTTATCTAAAAATACAAGGTCAAAAAGAGGCTGCTTACAAAATAGTCTCAACAATGGAACTAAATTTTCTTTATGTTCTTTTCACGATTGAAATTCTCTCACACAATGTCTTCTGTCCTCCCGATTCTTAATTAGCTAAGCGTGCAAACAAGACTTCATGCCAAATCTGTGACGTAGCAGCTGGTCATTGGTTAGACTTACTCATCCATATTCATCAGAAATTGTAAGATTTTCAGCAAACTACGTCGTCTGCCAGAGGGTGAAGACGTGTCGTCCATTTGTGTCGAAGATAAAATTACAATTTGAGGACAGAAGACGGTTGGCTTGTAAAGAATAGCAACAGAAAGCAATGCTATGTTATTATACCATCAGGTGAGTAATTCTTTGGAAGATATTGCCTTAAAATCCTCCATAAAGCATAGCAAGTGTCGACATCTTTTCCAAAGAAGTTAACACGTGTCAGTTGTTTCCTTGAACGGTTATACAACTCGAAGCTCGATTGAATAAGGTGTCGGCCGCTAAAGATACAGAACCTGTGGTTCTAGTAACCTATGTTGGGAATATATTTCTGTGTTTCTTTCAAACGCTAAATGTTATCTTCGTTCGTCATTCTGCAGTTGTTCGCGGCCACGTGGAGCTGTAAAGACTTATTCCCCAAATCTCATCCCCGCGGAAATTGGTACATCAAGAAAATAATGCAAAATATAGATTTCAGAGTCCTTTAGATTGCATGTCGTTCTAAGAAAAATTTTGCACTCTTAAGCGGTCCTGATCAGGTTTATAATTCATATCTTCAGAGAGAGGAATGGTGTGAGAAGTATTGGAGGATGAAGAATCTGGACCAGAGGAGACAATGGAATCATTGGACAAAAGGAGGATACCACAAAGATAAGAAATTTTAT